TTAGTTTTCATATCGTTTTTGTAAATCTAGTCTAAAAAAAAAAAAAGAAAAAAAACAAAAATGCTAAATTTACATGACGATTAGAAAACAATTTGAACTTGTGAAATCGCTAACGATCAAATGACTAGGTTAAATGACAGGATCCAAAGTCCCGGTTAGTTTTCATATCTTTTTGTAAATCTAGTCTTAAACAAAAAAAACAAAAACAAAAAAAACAAAAATGCTAAATTTACATGACGATTAGAAAACAAATTAAACTTGTGAAATCGCTAACGATCAAATGACTAGGTCAAATGACGGGATCCAAAGTCCGGTTAGTTTTCATATCGTTTTGTAAATCTAGTCTAAAAAAAACAAAAATGCTAGATTTACATAACGATTAGAAAACAAATTGAACTTGTGAAATCGCTAACAATCAAATGACTAGGTCAAATGACGGGATCCAAAGTCCGATTAGTTTTCATATCGTTTTGTAAATCTAGTCTAAAAAAAAAAAACAAAAAAACAAAAGTGCTAAATTTACATGACGATTAGAAAACAATTTGAACTTGTGAAATCGCTAACGATCAAATGACTAAGTCAAATGACGGGATCCAAAGTCCGGTTAGTTTTCATATCGTTTTGTAAATCTAGTCTAAAAAAAAAAAAAAAAAACTAAAAATCAAAAATGCTAAATTTACATAACGATTAGAAAACAAATTGAACTTGTGAAATCGCTAACGGTCAAATGACTAGTCAAATGACGGGATCCAAAATCCGGTTAGTTTTCGTATCGTTTTGTAAATCTAGTCTAAAAAAAATAAAACCAAAAAAAAAAATCTTGTAAAAAAGCCGTAGAAAAAAAAAAAGTAATTTTGATTTTAAAAAGAAAAGGAAATTCACCTGAAATCTTACTGGAATTGATGTAACGCGAGACTCTTTTCCTTATCTGATATCTCTCAAAGGCGTCTTCTCTCAGTCATCTCACGAATCTTCACCATACTATTCCAAAATAGCCCTTGTATGACATCATCCAAAATAGCCGTTGTGTGACATCATCACGAATAATCTCCGACGAAGTATCTTCCTCCATCTCGATCTTTGTCAATTTCCATCGTGTTCTCTCATATCTCGGCCACAACTTCATCACCGTAACCTTGAAACCCTAACTTATAATCCCAGATTCACCTTTAAACATCTCCTTGCCCTCTCTAATGATTGACTAAAACATGGTCGGAGAAAAATCCGAAGAGATACGAACCCAACGAATAATTCCCTTAACGAGAACGAGATTCATGACGGCTTCTATCGACATAACTTGCTCGAGAAGAAACTCAAGTTTTTAGAAGAAGAAAAAGAAGAAGAAGAAGAAGAAGAAGAAAGAGCACGTTAGGGTTTTGCTCTTCGACGAATGACAACTTCGATTCTTAAGAAGAGATTAGTATATTTATAATGAAGGGTTATGACTGAAAGAAAAGGAAATTTCTTTTAAAAATAAAACAAAAAGGAAATTAAGGTCAAATATTTCCTTTTCATATAATTGGACGCAAAAACAAAAAAGGAAATATCCTTTTGAGCACGTGACAGTCACGTGATTACAAGTTAATTTCGTTTTTCTCTCCTCATTCGCCTCGCCGACGTATTTCTCTCTTCCGTCTAGAGTCTAGCTCTCCGATCATGTGGGTGACGAATACCGTAATTCTACATCAGCCCAATTCTCTGACCCGATTAACCTTTTCTTACCCGACCCGACTCACCCACTCTCGTAAAGTCTCTCCCTTTTCCCGCTTCTTGAGGAAGAATCGGGTTACGGCACTGTCGACGACGAAGAAACCAGGTTCAGTTTTCTCACCTCCATTGACTTACCAATCTCTTTGCTAATGTTTATCTGTATTAAAAATTCTAACTTTATTCAATAATTTAACAGATGAAGATCACGAGTTATCGCCAGATGAGAAGCTGGAGAAATTCTCGGCTGATTTGGGATGGTTATCGGCTTTTCCTCATGTATCAGTTGCTTCTATGGCCAATTTTCTCTTTGGTTATCACATTGGGTAATATTATAGCCAAATCCATCTTCTTTCAAGTTTAAGTATCTGTCTCGCCAAATTTGTGCCTTGGTAGAAACAATCCATGTTTTTTTGTTTCACTGGCCTAGTTTGATTTCTGTACAAGGATATTAATCTCTGTTCGTGTAATAGTGTAATGCTTTGTTGTGTTATGTGTGAGAAACAGCTCCAGTTTGAGCCTTGAGGGGGGTGAAAGTCCTAAGAGTAATCACTCTAGAGGGATTAGCTTACAATTTGCAATGATGTTGATTAGGTTGTTTTTACAGAGTGTTGACTTGTCCCCATCTTGTCATGTCGTTAGCTTCTAGTGAGAAGAATATGAGTTAGCCAGGTTGATATCAATTATATGGATTAGTTTTTCGGAAGCTTAGTACTTATAATATCACTTGGTTCTTGCAGAGTGATGAATGGGCCCATCGTGTCTATTGCGCGTGAACTTGGATTTGAAGGCAATTCTATTCTTGAGGGTCTTGTTGTGAGCATATTTATTGCCGGTGCATTTATTGGAAGCATAGTCTCCGGTCCACTAGTTGACAAGTTTGGCTACCGACGCACCTTTCAGATTGTCACGATACCCCTAATTCTTGGTGCCCTTGTGAGGTAATATGTTGTTACTTAGGTGAATCTTGATTTCATTATGTTAGTAACAATTCCATGATGTTTTAAGTTTTGAGGGTTCTCGATTTTATTGATGAAGCAGAATAACAAGACTTGTTTTTTTCTCTCAGTGCACAAGCTCACTCCTTGGATGAGATCTTATGTGGAAGATTTCTTGTTGGTCTTGGTATTGGCGTCAACACGGTTCTTGTTCCTATTTATATATCCGAGGTAATCTAATGTGTGATTCCTTTTCAACTTCATGTTTTAACTATTTGGCTTCTTCTGCTGTAAGATCAAGGACATTTCTTAAAATTGATCTTACTTACTCTCAGTATGGTAAGTTGTTGTTTAGCATTCTTTTGCTTAGCATATTTTGCATTTCATATGTTCGGCGGAAGAGTCTTGTTGCTTTTCATGTTGAGCCAACCATTTTTATTCTATAGGTTGCTCCGACGAAATACAGAGGTTCCCTTGGAACTTTATGTCAAATTGGCACTTGTCTCGGGATAATCTTTTCTCTTCTCTTAGGGATTCCTGCAGAAGATGACCCTCATTGGTGAGCTTCATTAGCTAGCTACACATTTCACTCTGTTAGGATGTCCTCTTAATTTCATTCTTCTCATATATACTATTGTTCAGGTGGAGGACAATGCTCTATGTAGCGAGTATGCCTGGTTTTCTTCTTGCACTTGGTATGCAATTTGCAGTAGAAAGTCCCCGTTGGCTCTGTAAGGTACAAGTCGCCTCTTTTCATCATGAGGAAGCATTGATTTTCCATGTTGAAATCATGTCTCATGATACTTGTTTAGGTTGGACAACTGGATGATGCCAAGGTAGTGATCAGAAACATCTGGGGAGGATCTGAAATCGAAAAAGCTGTAGAAGATTTTCAGTCGGTTATGAAGAATAATGGCTCCAACTTAAATAGCAGATGGCTGGAACTCCTTGATAAACCACATTCACGAGGTCATGTCAAGGTTGCTCTTAATGTTAATTCTAAGGATCTTATATTATACCAGAAACTGAGAAACTGAGAACATCCAAGTTTAAGAGTAACCTTTCCCGGGAATCCGATTTAAGAAACTGAGAATATACAACTTCGTACATGACAAATCTATGTAGCTAAATTGTATGTCTTGTTGATATTATGGTTGCAGTTGCATTCATTGGGGGCACCCTTTTTGTCCTTCAGCAATTCGCAGGCATAAATGGTGTTCTTTATTTCTCATCTATAACATTCCAAAATGTTGGAATCACGAGTGGTGCTCAAGCAAGTCTATATGTTGGAGTCACAAATTTTGCAGGTGTTCAAAGCTCACCTATATCAACTTTACATTTTCTTTATTTTCTACTGTTTCCAACCCAATGTCCCTTTTTCTGAACTGTTGGGTCTAATAGGTGCTCTGTGTGCGTCTTATTTGATTGATAAGCAAGGAAGAAAAAAGCTTCTTATTGGTAGTTACTTGGGAATGGTAAATATCGTTTTATTTATCAAAAACTTTTCACTGATTTAGCTTATTTTGATTGAATTGATTTGGTTTCACAGGCAGTCTCTATGTTTCTCATTGTTTATTCTGTTGGTTTCCCGTTGGATGAAGATCTGAGCCAGAGTTTGTCAATACTTGGAACACTCATGTAAGTAGCTTGAGGTCCAGCAATTACTAGTCTCCTTTTCTCAGCTCTTGATCATACAGTACCCAAAAAAGACAGAAACTTACCATATGATTGGTCCGGTTACAGGTATATATTCAGTTTTGCAATTGGAGCTGGTCCTGTAACTGGTCTCATCATCCCTGAGCTAAGTAGCAACAGAACGCGTGGGAAAATCATGGGTTTCAGCTTCTCTGTACATTGGGTATGTATTTTTTTTTTTGTTTTCCCTTAAATCATTTTAACGATTGAAGTTTGAACTAAGACGAAGCAAATGTTCTTCAGGTCTGCAACTTCTTGGTTGGTTTGTTCTTCCTGGATCTGGTGGAGAAATTTGGAGTTGGAACGGTGTATGCCGGCTTTGGCAGCGTATCACTGTTGGCAGCGGCGTTCTCATACCGCTTCATAGTGGAAACAAAGGGTCGATCACTAGAAGAGATTGAAATGTCTTTGAACTCCAGAGACCTGAGCTAAAAAGGGTAAAAGTGAAAGAAAGAGAGAGAGACCTCAAAAAAAATTCAATGTTTTTCTTCAGTTGTTGTAAATAGTCTGGAAATTAGCTTGTGAGAAATCTTGTGAATATATATATATACATAGAAAGTTTTGTAAAGTTATAAAATGTTATAAAATAGAGTATGAGAGTGAAGTTTTGTAAAGTTATAAAATGTTTGTCATTGTTACATGTGAGTAATGCAAAAGAAAGTTGACAAAGATTACACAAACATTTAAAAGAAGTTGTATAAAACAAGGTAAAGGTTTTGCCTAACAACTTACAAGTGCTGAGACATTCTTGATTTATATCTCAATAAATAATATTGTCTCGATCTATATACATATGGTAAAAATCGTGAGTCCATTATTTTTCATTATGCATCTCACAAACTCTTGTTAACAACTCATGATTTCTATATATATTCATATGTATGATGGTTTGCACGTCTGCAAACAAAGATAAAGATCTGATAATATTTAAAACAAACATTTTTTTTAGCATAAGATTATTGAATATAAAGATGCTAGCTGGTTATTTTTTTTTAAACGTACGCAGCTTGTCATTGACTTTAACCTATACAAATATGAGGCTTGTAGAAACAACTCTTATGAATTGTGAGAGAATATTACTTTGAGACTGTCAAAAAAATTGTAACATATAAATAACACTGACCTGCAACTGCAAACTAATTTTCAGTATGATATTTATATCATAAGTTTCCGAAATTTGAACACAATTTCTGCATCATGCTTTTTCAAGAAGAAGAATTTAAAAACAAACGCGCCAAAATCGCGTGTGAAGTCTCTCTATTAGTCAACGCTATATCTTGAAAGGTTCTCGATAGTCTCCAGCCATTTTATTCTGCCTTCCTCTCTATTTTTAGAAGAACAAAATTTGAAAAAAATATCCATTGAGAGAGAACAAAAAAAAATTAGAGGAAAATCTTCTAATTTGGTTTTAATTCTCCGTGATTAATCGCTAATTCAAAGTGATTAAGAAATTAAAACCCCCTTGAGGAACAAGAAGAAGACGTTTGGGTGAGATTAAAAAAGGCGACGACGAGGACAATGCCGAGCAAGCTGAAAAAAGCGATTGGTGCGGTTAAAGATCAAACGAGCATTAGCTTCGCCAAAGTCGCTAACGGAGCCACCGGAGGCGGCGATCTCACCACTCTCGAGGTTGCGATCTTGAAAGCTACGAGCCACGACGAGGAAGTCCCAATCGACGATCGACTCGTAACAGAAATCCTCGGAATCATATCCTCCAAGAAATCTCACGCCGCCTCTTGCGCCGCCGCGATCGGTCGCCGTATCGGGCGGACTCGGAATTGGATCGTCGCGCTCAAATCCCTAGTCCTCGTCCTCAGGATTTTCCAAGACGGTGATCCTTATTTCCCTCGCGAAGTCCTCCACGCCATGAAACGTGGCGCCAAAATCCTCAATCTCTCCAGCTTCCGCGACGATTCGAACTCGTGCCCTTGGGATTTCACAGCTTTCGTCCGTACATTCGCGCTTTACCTCGACGAACGTCTCGATTGCTTCCTCACCGGAAAATTACAGAGACGGTACACAATCCGAGACCAAACCGGAAGAATCAGCACCAACACAACCAACTCAAGATCCCGGTTTAATCCCAAAACCGGAATAAAATCCCACGAACCGGCGGTTCGAGATATGAAACCGGTAATGCTTCTTGACAAAATCACGTATTGGCAAAGATTACTAGACAGAGCAATCGCGACGCGGCCAACGGGAGATGCAAAAGCGAACAAGCTCGTGAAAATGTCGCTATACGCCGTCATGCAAGAGACTTTTGATCTTTACAGAGACATTTCCGATGGATTAGCGCTTTTGTTAGACAGTTTCTTCCATTTGCAATACCAATCTTGCATTCATGCGTTTCAAGCTTGTGTTCGAGCTTCGAAACAGTTCGAAGAGCTTAACGGATTCTACGATATTTGCAAATCGATCGGTATAGGAAGAACATCGGAGTATCCTAGCATTCAAAAGATCTCTTTAGAGCTTCTTGAGACATTGCAAGAGTTTCTGAAAGATCAATCGTCGTTTCCAGCGAGCTCGGGGTTGTATCCGTCACCGAATAGTCTTCTTCCTCCGCCTCCATCGTCTAAAGATTCAGCGGTTTCAAGCTCGCTTGATTTTGGAGATTCCACGATTGATACGTCGGAGAGGTATTCGGATTACGGGTCGTTTCGTAGTACTTCGTTGGAGGATTTGATGAGCAGGACTGAAGCAGGGACTAGTAGTCCTCCGATGTCTTGTCATTCTGAGCCTTATGGAGGAGGACGAGATGATCCTAATGGAAATAATTTCGATACGGTTTCGACTAAATCGCTTCCGAATAATCCCTCTGTTTCTGCTTCCAATCTCACATTGGACCTATTGTCCTTGGATGACGTAAGTAACACGGCAGAAGCAAAAGATGTTGAAGACAAGAAGAAGCAAGATGATTCTAAGGCAGAGACTTTCGATCCTTGGGAGGCGTTGATGTTGAGAGATGAACCTTCAACCTCTGAGGATCAAAGAGATTCAGGGAATTGGTTGCTTGTGCTGGAAGAAACCGCTACGCAGGTGCAGGATAATAACTCGATGGCGATAGTACCATTCGGGTTAGATGATCCGATGCCTGCGTTTCAAGCCGCCATGGACCAATACAATCCATTCTTGGAAGAACCAGTTGCAGAGTTAGCTGCAGCCGAGGAACCAATGACCACGTTCAGTGCCCTGGCTTTGACAGAGTTTCAGCCAGAACCGACGTTTCAGGTGAACGTTCCTGAAGATTTTGAGCCGTCTTCTACACCAACGTTTAAGGCCACGGGGACTTTGCCTGTGGAATGTGACCCATTTACAACATTTGAGAGTACTTTTGGGTTCGGAGAGACATTATCAGAAAATGGAGGGGTAAATCAACAATCTGTGTTGCAAGAACAGCAGTTATGGTTGCAGAACCAGAAAAAGATCATAGCCAAGCACTTGAGTTGATAAAAAAATTATTTGGCTAGACAGAGATTGAGATGTTTCTTTGATTTTTTTTTTGGTTACATTATAAACTTAACTCTTAACTCATTTTTTCATAACTTAGAGAAATGTGAAATACAGAAATTGTTTGATAAAAAAGATATGCGCTCGAGATACACATTAACATGATCGGATTCTATTTTCGTACTTGCATTCCTGTGTAGATATACACAAGGTATGTTGTGTCTTGTAATATAATTACATTAAGAATTTGATTTTCAAGTATATCTCAACGAGTAAAACTAAAATATCTAAGTTTCACCTTCTGAATAACATTTCCTTTTTGGGATTTTGTTTTGGTTATGTTCTTGAGTTTGAACATCGAAGTTAGTATTTAGGAATTGAATTTAAATAGACAATTGTGAAGTTGATGTAGCATTTATTTTTATGTATTTTAAAAATATTTATGTATTATTTATTTTTATTATCTCTCTATAATAACAAGTTTTAACATAACAGATGCATGCATCTAGAGTGTGTGTGTGTGTGTATGAATATCTGGCAAACAAGATTATATGCATTTTATTATTTTCCTTTATGCATGCATGTATTTATGTGTAATGATATGCATCCGTGAGAATGCGAATGATAAAATGTATGTATATCGGTGGAAGAAAACGAAGAGGGAAGCCAAATGGAATAAATTAAGGAGGTCCACTAGTAGGTCAAGTGGGTTTTGTGGTGTCGATAACATGAGATTGACCAAAGCTGTAGCTTGACCCCAAGGCCACGAGGGAGAGATATCTACCAAACCAAAATCATCATAACACATCTCTTTCTATTAGATAGCCCACCACAAATATTAATTTATTTTCTTAGTTATACACCAAAACTACTTTTATCCCCACCCCATTGACTAGAGTCGTTTTCCTTTTTTTACGTTGGTTTAATTTTGTAAATCACCCAATGGTAAAAGCTTCTGAATATATGTGAATTTGGATTCCACCTTTTTTAGGTTTCTCACTACAAGTCTTCCTTCTTGACTTCTCAATTTGTTGTTTTGTACTTTTTTGTAATTTAGTACAAATTTGTTTACAAGTCATACGTGATTGAATATAACACCGGCTGCTAAGCCTATTTTTCTATCTTAAGTTTCACTTTCAAGTCCAAATTCCAAAATATTAGTCAAAATGAGAAAAAACACGTTTCCTCATTTGTTTTGCTTATTATAAAACCCACTTTAAAAATAGTCCAATAAAATAGCAAATATGAAGAAATTTCAAATCAATAATTGCCAAAACCCGTCTGTGATATTATACTTTTTGAGGTTCCATAATAATGACGTGAGATTTGGTTGTGAGGAAGTGGAAAATTAAGTTAAACATGTCTACTATGGAATATCAGTTGTTGTTTAATCCTTTTTCTTATTATAAAGTATGAATGTTGAGCAAAAAAAAAAAAGGTTATCCACCTTTCTCCAAATAGAAAGGAAGTAATGAATATTACTATGACAAAATCTACTGCATTTGCTTTTTAATCCTCAAGAATTTGAAAGGAACATATCTTATCAACTCTGAGATGATCTTGTGGCCAAAATAGGTAACCACGTAATCGAATCTGAACTTCTCCGCTTAAATGGGAAAATTTATTTGATCTGATCTGGACGGTCAAAAGTGATGGCTCATGATACTTATTACTTAATATAGACGTGCATATAGAGATGCTTTTACCCGGGGATGCGCTTACCTAGCGTAGCTTCGCAATCGACGGACACAAAGAACCCAGTCCCCACCATTGGTCCATCAAAATTATTACAAAAAGAATGAAAACTGTGTCACAAGACTAAATGATTTTGTAGATTTTTGTTATTTAGATGGATGCGGTCTAGAAATAAAATTAACAAAAGCCAACCATTAGAGTATCTGAAATTAATCTTTCCTTATAGATCTGTAAGATAATTTTGTATTGTTGTATATGTTACTTGAAAACAAGAAAAGGTTCAAAAAAAGGGGATATATATATAAGCTATTATTATACACAAAGTAAAAGGAAGAAAGGTGAAAAGGAAGATTAATCTACACTAAAAGTAAAAGGAAGAAGAACGAGTCAAACAATGATTCGTGCGACTGATCGTAATATACGTCGCTGTCATATATTTTGTTTTGTATAACCAAAATATTTATAATTTTCTATAGTTAGATACTATATTAAAGGTGATGAATAGTAATCACGACTTTATAAAAGGTTATATATTATCACCTTTGAGTATATTTTTCCGATGACTTGGACGACCCAACTCACTTTGGATAAACCTTGTGGTCTATTCTAAATTTAATCCTGATTTAATTGGTTTTTGGTTCTGATTATGTGGATTTATCCACGGTTAAACGTCAGATTCAGAATAACAATTCGTTTGATAGATCTAATAAGACATAGATTTTTATCAAAAATTTTAAATATAGTATTAACTCTATTTCCTCACTTTTTTCACTTTTTTTAGTATGTTGCAATAGGAGCCAAACGATGGGTTGATTCCCTTTTTTTTTTTGTTGAGTTGATTAACTTTTGCTTTTGTTGATTAACACTCCACAATAACGAGTAACATTAAAGGAACTAAAAGTGATCAGACTTTTTGGTCGACCGTAACATACTTTGTTGAATTTTGTCAAAAATCATTACACAAATGATATTATGGTGTGGGGTCCAAAAACCAATGACTGTAGAATGATAGATTACTCGTGGAAGTAATTCAAAGCTCCTCTCTTCTCTTCTCTCTATAAAACCAACTCTCTCATCATCAGATTTAGATCACAACTTCAAAAGCGTCAACATAAAGCTAGGCCAAGAAACCCACTAAAAAGAAAAGATGGAGAGAGAGATGGAGAGTTTCCCGATCATCAGTCTCGAGAAGCTTAATGGAGAAGAGAGAGCAATCACGATGGAGAAGATCAAAGACGCTTGTGAAAACTGGGGCTTCTTTGAGGTATTAATTCACTTTTTTTCTTCTATAAGTAAATGAAAAAGCTCAAAATTATGTAACTCAAATCTAGTCATATATCTGTTGGTGGTATTAAAGTGCGTGAACCATGGGATTTCACACGAGCTTTTGGACAAAGTGGAGAAGATGACGAAGGAACACTACAAGAAGTGCATGGAAGAAAGATTCAAGGAATCGATCAAGAACAGAGGACTTGACTCTCTTCGCTCTGAAGTCAACGACGTTGACTGGGAATCCACTTTCTACCTCAAGCACCTTCCCGTCTCTAATATCTCCGATGTCCCTGATCTCGACGACGATTACCGGTAACTTTTTTTAGTTTCTTTCTTAACCGGTCCGGGATATTTACCTTAACCGGTTACAAGATCTCAGATTTACTGGTTTTCGGAACAACTCAACATGAACCGGTTTTCTTCTTTGGTACAAACTACAAAGTAAAAGTTTAACCGGCTTTTTTTTCTTTGGTCAACTAACCGGTGATTTTTTTTTTCTACAGGACGTTGATGAAAGAGTTCGCCGGAAAGATAGAGAAGTTATCGGAGGAGCTACTGGATCTGCTGTGCGAGAATCTTGGATTAGAGAAGGGTTATCTGAAAAAGGTGTTTTACGGGTCGAAAAGCCCCACTTTTGGAACCAAAGTCAGCAATTATCCACCTTGTCCTAAACCGGACCTAGTCAAGGGTCTCCGAGCCCACACCGACGCCGGTGGCATCATCCTCCTCTTCCAAGACGACAAAGTCAGTGGACTTCAGCTTCTTAAAGACGGCGAGTGGGTCGATGTTCCTCCCGTTAAGCATTCGATCGTCGTTAATCTCGGTGATCAACTTGAGGTAATGTACAGATTGCAGCTTTTTAACCAAACCGAACCAAATTGAATTAAGACTTTTGAGATTAAATTTTGGATTGATTAAACCAGGTGATAACCAATGGGAAGTACAAGAGTGTGGAACATAGAGTGCTATCTCAAACAGACGGAGAAGGAAGAATGTCGATCGCATCATTCTACAATCCGGGAAGCGACTCTGTTATTTTTCCGGCACCGGAGTTGATCGGAAAAGAACCGGAGAAGGAGGAGAAAGAGAACTATCCGAGCTTTGTGTTCGAAGATTACATGAAACTCTACTCTGCTGTCAAGTTTCAGGCCAAGGAACCAAGGTTTGAAGCCATGAAAGCTATGGAGACAACTGTGGCCAACAGTGTTGGACCATTGGCCACTGCGTGAATGAATGTAACTTATTAATAAATAAATATAGTCTTTATATGATTTTCTTATAAACTTGATTATTTAATATACAAATAATTTTGTTTTTGTGGGTTCATGTGTTGTTGTATGTTTAACTAATAAATGTTTTTATATATATGAGGGAATTAATGTTTTCTATTTGTAGAGTTAATACAAATAAACTACAGACAAATTAGACACTCAAAAAAAAAAAAAAAAAAGGAAGTAAGGCAATCAAATACAAGAATTGTGTTTATTCTAGAGAATATATTTCCAATCTAGCTGACAATACACATTGCACAAGACAACAATAGCCAGAAAAATGCTCTTTTACATACGTGGGGGAAAAAAAAAAAAAAGGAAGGGTCACACTTGTGAGATTTAACACCATCCTTGCCTTTTTGACCAGTTCCAACTCGAGTCCCTTTTCTTCCCAATCACTATGGAAAAAGTGGTGTGGCTAACAAAGAATGTTTAATCTATAAACTGGTTTTGTTTTTGTAAACTTGTGCTGTTTTTTTTTTTTCATTTCATGTATAGAGAAGAACATCACTTATTTACGAAAGAACAAAACAAACAAATTATATTTGGTTTTAGAGAATATTATTCTTTTTCCGAAAAAAATATAAATCTAAGAAGCCGAGTGATACTAATGTGTGTCAACATAACACTCAAAACAACCAGATCAAGAGCAGATTCAAAACATGTAACAGCATCATTGACTTTTTGGTAACCTGCTGTTCACTTATGTCTCGTTCATCTTCTTTCCACTCTCCATATATATCCTCAGCTTCTTCTACATCATCAAGTTTCGACAAAGAGCTAAACGCGGTTCGATACACCTCTTCGCTCTTCTTAAAGTCGTCCCAAAGAGTTTGCAGCACCTCTCTTGCACTCCCTAGCTACCACGTTACCATACATCTCTGAACAAACTCTAACGTAAACCTTTGCCATTTCAAAGATCGTGTCTCTCTGCAGTTTGATTCCTTCAACCAACGTTCTCATAAACATCTTTATCGCCTTTACATCGACCTTCAAAACAGTGTTTGCAGTGACAATGTCGGGTTTCACATTGTCAGATCTCGTGTAAGAGGTTAAGAGCGTGGAGTAGACTGAGTAATCCCTCATATTTGAAGGGATACTTTTGAAGAACTTCTCTGCTTCTTCTAAACCCAACACTGTCTCAATCAGATAAAACCGAGCTGCATAATATTTCGGAAACAGATTACACACCTTTTCTTCATCCATACATTTTGATGCCTAATAATAACCACAACCAAGAGCACATAATATGTAAGAAACCTCAAAATTTGGTAAAAAGAAAGAAAGAAAAAGACTTAAAAACATGAGGAAGATCGGGTTTTTAAAAACCTTGAGTTCTTGGGAAAATGGATTAGAATCTCGAAGATTCTTGATGAGCCCTCCGCCGATGTACAACTGTTTCTCCTGTTGCTGCCATTGATCAAGCACGGGTTGCGTAGGAAGAAAAGCCACTTTGATCCGAATAAGCAGAGTTTGGCTTGCCTCGGGTGACCATAGGGTTGCATAGGAACGGAACAGAGAATTCTTGTAACCGCAAGCAAGAATGCGCTTTGCATGTCGTTGAAGAATCGGCGTCATGCTTTTGATTAAACCAAATGATTAATAACACACACTCCCGTAGAGTGTTTCGTATTCGTGACCTATAAGGACTGTAGGAGACTAGAAAGATTGAAGCTTTTTGGAAAAATGTTTGTATTCTCGCTAATCTATATTAGGGTTTTACACTAGAGTTATATACAGGAAGGAAGAAGGATCTAGATGCTAATCTTATCCTTAAACGGCTAATGCAGCTGGCTATGATGAGTCACCAGCAGTCACCTTCCTTGAACCTTCGTTGCTCTGTTTCTCAGATGAAGAAGAATCCTCTTTTGTCTTCATCTGTTGACTGCACTGTGATGGGCTTTCTGTTGTTGAGCCTTTTACATGTTTATTGCTCACAAGGACAACTATCTCTCACTTATAGCTAAAAATTGGTAGTGGCCTTAGTTTGGTTTCATATTCGTGACTTAACAACTCTTCACGCATCTAGCATGTCTTTTTTTTTTTTTAAAAATATAATGATTAATTCCGTAAATGATACAAAATATTAGGTTGTAGAGTTATGTTGATGATTGGTCAGGAAATCATATTAGTCCACATAGTTCGGATAACAACATTACAATGAACAAATTATTTTTACACACTGATGGTAGTTAATTATCTCCTTGCTCTTGTCACGAGAATGAACACTTGAAATATATGATAACAAATTATGTACTGAAGAAATGAAATATATGAGCAAGTAATAATCGTTATGCAACATTTGGGATAATCCAAGAAAATATATATCTTCCTAAACAAACTCCTATATAATTTACTTGTATTTGTATACGTATTTATCTACCTTAGTGCTTACACTGAGCAGGAAAAAAACAGAGTAAAGTATTCGTAACGAAAATGAAACCTTTTCTTTTCTCGAAATATTATTATTGATTCCAGAGAAAGGTAAAGAAAGAGAAGAATGTTTCCTCTGGAACTCTAATATGATTAATCTCTCCTTTTTATCTGAAGATTTTAGCTTCCCCTGTTTATCTGATGGAACAGGAGAAAGACATTGGAATATGACTGAAGCTGGAAACATCGAACGTCTCCATGAATCTTTGATCTGAAACTCTAGCTTTTGCTGCTGCGAATCGCTGGTACTCGTCGAATATCGATGTCAAACACCATTTTTGGAGCTTTCTCAAGCAACCAACAAGACAACCAGTCCGATGCTGCAAATTCCACATTCATACTTAGAATTTCATTTTCTTCTTCAGTGGTGGAGCCAAAAGATCAAAATTTGAGGATTAGAGAGAATGATTACCTTCCCTCGCTTACAGTGAATCAGAACAGGATGGTTTTTCTCATCTGAGGATTTTCAAAGGAGAGATATTAATAAGAACCAAGTTACAATTAGAAAGCATACAAAAAGTGTGGTTACATGTGTTCTTCTATTTTAGGGTTTCTTCTATATGATTCATACTTACCTAGAAGCACTTTGAGTGCCATTCGGATTTTACGGTCAGGAATATTCACAAATGGCTCCTGAAAATAAGAAGAAAAAGATATATTTTTTAGAATTATAATATCATATGTCAAAAGATCGATCACACTACTAAATTTAGCAGATTAGGATAGGATAAGGCAATCTACTAAGCAAGGTTCATGCACAAGCAACGTCGAGAGAGACAAGACAACCATGTAAAGGTTCATTAACAGGACAAAGTCTACAAGTTATGAAGCATGTTTAATGTGATACCTTTTACTGGTTGCGTACTGAGAGAAAGATTCTTTACTTTTTATATCAAAAAGTTATCTCCACACACAACAACAACAACACGGAATAAACACAAAGTCCCATTGAAAGACGAATCTATGAGAAGAAAAAAAGCTTAGCAAGCCAAGAATATCAACGATGAAGTTTTCCTATCAAGATCAAAGTTGTCACACTAAGCATAAAGAATCTGAGTCGAGAAGCAAAAACCAAAGTCAATGAGATCTAACAATGTGAATGGGGAATAATTTCCAATCATTCCAATAAAATCACTACACCAAGAAGAGAAAGCCACTTTAGTGTAAAAGCAAAACAAGGAAACTATGGTAGTAAGTATCTAAACGACTCCCCACATAAAGAATCAACTATCCTAGGAGTAGAATCTACAGGGAAAGGTGAATTCTGTGGGGAGAGAATGATAGCTACTGCATACCAGAGCAAGCATATTTACTTTCAACCCCACTTTTCGATGATCAGATTCTAGATCAACTCAAATTTGATTCATACCAATCTCTTCCGGAAAGCAAAATGGTTTGGCTTCTTATTAGTGAAAAATATGGGACGAAACACATCCAATATCTTCATAACTCATGAAGGTAATAAGTTCAAGACTCTATGGTGAAAGTTTTTGGTTATTCCATTACCAACGTTTGCCCACACATGGGCCACTAAAACATAGACAAAGAAAGGAACTAAAGGTACGTGTTAAAAAACATTAACCGACTTAATACGCAATTCCTAACCTTTTCTAGATTTCAAACCTTACAGCTAATATGGACACTTTCACGGTCAACACGCTTTGAACAAGTTTTTACCATAAAAAACGGTTTACTTGTACACAATCAAGAAACGCTTTTGCTGATGTATGATTTCATAAGATATCATATCTGTATAAAAAAAGTGCACACTCAATAAACATGAACCAAGAAAACAATATCAACAGAAAGTAAGCTTTTGAGTAGTGGATCATTGACAACACTTGCAACAAGCAGCTCAGCAAATATTTTGACGTAGTCCATTATCTAATTTTATAAATAGAGACTATAAAGACCAAGTGGTAATAGTTGCTGAAGGGGCAGAAAAACAAAGAGTGGGACCAAATCAGTGGAGGTCAAGAGAAACAGAAAGAGGCAAAACATTAAAGAAAGATGTGTTCTTTTTTCTGGTAAACTCATAATAATAAAATATGGCTTGGAACAAAGTGCCCATGAAGGATCAAATTCAAGAGAAAGAAAACACACAAACAGTTTTAGTAATCTCAAGTAAACAACAATGAGACAGGATTTTAAGAACAATTAGGCAACAAATCAAACCCCTCATATTGAATGAACTTTGATATATTCCAGAAATAGTATACCAAAGTTTTCGAAAGTCCATTAGTTAAGGGACCCTCTTTCTGATGCTTAGAACTCCATAAATGCAACCAAATCTCGTTGTCTAAGTCAGGAACACACTGCAAGATTTGATTTTCCAATCCAGATAATTCCCCTAGTGAACTATCCTAGTAAGTTTTAGAATTACAGAACAAGGCAGAACAATTAAAAACAGAGACTTGATGAACAGAGAGGGGGATAGAGAGGAGAAGAAAGGTGCTTACCTTATTGCCTTCAATGCCAAACTGAAAAAGCCTAATTCCATTGGATTTAAGGAACTGGAGATTGCTTTCAGTGTAAGGCTCCGGACACAAGTATCTTTGAACAATACCCAAAAACAAAAACCTAAAATCAGCAATTCGAAAGTTTTGATAAACGGAAAAAATGTCATGAATGTGGAAGAAGCTTTTACATGATTGAGCGGAGGCCAAGAGTCTGGAGAAAGGAGAAGTTAGCTGAATCAGGGAATCCAGAGCGGAATATACCGTTATCGACCATGGAGAAGTTGAGCGGCGGAATTAGGTTAAGTTCATCGCCGGAGACAACTCGAAAGGGATCAACTTCACCGTCCGGAGCCTGAAACCCGTTTCTGTCAACCTCGGAAACCTCGATGGTGCGGCAGACATCTTCTCCATTATCGTCCTCCTCCGTAGCAGTCGTCTTCTCCACAAGCTTCATATCTGAACTGGGAATCAGAGAAAGGTTGAATCTTTTGGTGAGGAGAGTCAAGTAATGGAGATGGTCGTTACGTAGCGGCGACCTTATGGGGTTTATATATATAGAGAGAGAGACACTTTGTGACTGTTCAAAATTCAACAGACGAAAAAGAACGCAAGGAGATGGAGACCAAGCAAGACTTTTTTTTTTTTTTTTTTTTTGTCAATAACTGTTTATTCTCTATTTTAAAGAATTTGTGACATTTATTTATTTTTAATTTTGTTTATAATCTGTTAAGTTTTTTACTTTTTAGATACCATAGAATATGTGTAAATCGTTAGTTTGATCTATGCTTTCTGTTTCATATTGAAATCCTTAATCTGTTAAAAAAAAAAAAAAATGGTGCTATAATAAGGATTCCCACAAAAGAATCCAATATTAGAAGAAACAGTTAAATACTCCCGAAGAAATAGTTAAATACTCCCTCTATTTCATAAAGAGTGTCATTTTAGAGTTTTACACACAGATTAAGAATACATTAAATTTTTTGTTTTTTCAAAACAAAAACATCATTAACTATATACCTAAACATAATCTGGCCAATAGTAAAACAATATGCAGAATACTAATAGTCATAAAACATAAAAAATCATTAAATTTTGCATTGAAAACCTAAAACGACACTCTTTGTGAAACAAAAATAAAACCTTAAAACGACACTCTTTATGAAACGGAGGGAGTATTTTTACTCAAGTTGAGCTGAAAACAACAATATATACGGAAACTATATAATAATACACTAATTTGTAACGGTCTATCTTAGTTGTACATGCTACTACCATTTATCAACGGTTGATAATAATAATAATATGATGATTTAATTTGAGGAAATGATAACTATTTTGACATTTTCAAGGGTTATAAAAGTAAAGAAAAGAAAAGCTTACAAAATGAAATGACTTGCAAAACAAACAAAAGAATGATACTGAAATTGTTGTTGTTACTTGTTAATAATAGGAAATCACTTGTTGAAGGCTTGAAGCTTAAATTGGCATAATTGTGGAATCTTTTTGCTCTTACGTTACCTCACACAAACATCTTCTTCAAGAGAAATCAGTCTCATTGAACAAATATTAACTTTCACAACCCAACCTAAAATAATTTTTTTGACTATATTCACCAATATTAATATATTTAATATGGTTGAAGTTTCTGACCTATATTTACCTTGACAAAGTCAATTATTGACAATATACAAAATATTGATTGCTAGTCTGCTACATATAATATCATTCGAGGAAAGAAGCGAAGAGAAGATTCTAAACCAAAAGAAATAAAAAAGAGAGAAAGAGAGAAAGAGATTCCAACGGACAAGAGCTTCCTCTGCTAAGTGGAAAGAACAATCATGTTGCAGTCATAAACGCACCTTTATATAACTTTTATGGGATCGTAATTTTTACTAGATTAAACACTATTATTTTCCTTTCGCAGTTTGTTTTGTTAAACAATATATATATATATATATATATATATTTTTGACATCTTTGGATCGACAAGGTCCGATCCATAGCCAATCTCTACTACGCGGGGTAACGCGATTTACTGGAATCGAACTCCGGTGGAGAAGGCGGAGTCAAGTGGACTTAACCACTTGACTAAAGGCAGATCCCCAACAATATATTGTTTTGTATATATATTTTTAGCCAATATTCAGTTTTAATAATTGTTACTTGAAGTATATATATATTTTAGCCAATATTCAGTTTTAATAATTGTTACTTGAAAAAAAAACTATTTAATTGTGTGAAAATAACATTCGGTCCAAAATCAGATTTTGATTCAAATTAATGAGCCAAGAATAATCGATATATAGATAATGCCATTTATGTCATACATGATGACACCAATGCCGTGTTTTAAAATGATTTCTTAAATTTCTTATTTGAGAAAAATGGAGATGATGAATGTTTTTTTCGGTGCATATATGATCGCACCATGTTAATATATGATCCATAAACTGATAAACAAAACGAAATAATGCGAAAAGAACCACACCACGACAATATATTATTAGAATCCACGTCACATCTTTGTCTTCCACATAACACTCACAACAGAAAATTACACTTCTCTAATAAAAAAAACAGATGATAACTAGCTAAAGACAGAAAATTTGTAATGTTTAGTGTCCCACACTGGACTTTAATTGGATAAATTACTCAACAAAAACAAAATGCACCAGATAGTTTTTTTTCTTTTAGACAAACAAAAAGGTACATTCCAAGGAATATACCTTATGATTCTCAAGGATTATTGCGCCGCGAGCACTCGGCCACGTACGAAAGCGTTTTTGGATGCCGTCAAAGGACTTACCGTAAAAAGAACGTACGGAAATATCATAATGCCTTCAAATTATCTTTCGAGAATTTGTTTTGATTTCCCAAAAGTTTTCTCACGGAATATAAATTATTAATATATGACATACGTGATCCTCGATTCCATTGCCCATTCCGAAGTTGCGTGTCAAAACGCAAAAGGATGACTGTGAATTAACAATACGAGAAGACCGTTCACGTACGAGAGTGAGTATATGTACGCACATTTTCAATTGAAATTATTGGACTTGTTAATTAGTTGCATCCATCAAAGTCTCCGATTTCGACACAAGATTCATCAATTATTGTCGTGTTTCCATATCATAGAAATTTCATTTTTTCATGCAAGATTGATGAACTATTCTCTTGTTCCTGACCCCACATTTCTAGACATATTATTGGTCCATATATAGGTTCTATTTAGTTCAATATATCAGCTTGAGAATTTATCAACTAATTGCTAGAAATGATGATATTTAGTTCACTTCAATTATTCGTTCGTTCGTATACATTAAACATTTTCAAAAAAAAAGGAAAATTTTCAGTAACAGTAGCTTGTAATAAAACAATCAAAACTATTTTTTTCAGCATTCGGATATTTAGCATGCCGCTTACTTAAGTTTTCTTAGAGTTGTAAAAAGCCCATCTTAAATTTTCCCTCAAATAAATATGTGACAACTTCAAATAAAAACAAGAGTTTTAAATTTAGGAGAAGAGAATGTAACATGGTCAACAGAAATTGTTCACATACATGTGTTTTAGAACATCAAGACATAAAATGGAAAAAGAAAGTATACATGAGGCCTTTTTTTGTTATAAAGCCCATTTGATTGGACCTTAGGCCCAGTGTAAAGGTATCAACATCCATCTCAGAAAACGTAAGATTTTACAAAACAGACCCAATAGTATTCTTTTACACTCTCCAAGACCCAATTGCTGGAGCAACCGACCAAATGGAGTACTAAGCTCTTGCACACGTCTTTGAATGGATCCGTCCTTTGGAGGACTATCTCTATGATGTTGTTTCGTCTATTAAAGGACGACATGTATATTATTTAAACAATAATGATTAATTGTATAATTCACATACGATCGTTTCTAAGGCTAATTGAAAACTTCACCATCATTGCGCATGCACAAACTTCTAATTTTATTTAAATCACGAGAATTCCATTTTTATACAGAGTCTAAAAATTTTGTACGATATAAAAACCTTTTCATTAAAAAAAAAACCTTCTCACATATCCATTGCCTTAAATCTAGTAGGAGGCGGAAACTTATAGGAATAAGCAAAAAGCCGAATCCTTTTTTACTTTTGTTTATGTTGTTGACATGTAAAAAAAAAAGTCCTTGGAATGGTCAAACCAGTAGAAGATAGTTAAACAGATGGTCAGCAGAGCAGAGGATTACTACCTCGTAAGCTAACGTGGCGTAATACTGACGTCTAAAGATCACAGCTCTTACGCTGCTCCAGTGACCACCGAATCGTAACCTCCGCTTCTGTCCATTTTTCTCTACTGGTGGGTCCTCCAACCACTCTACAAAGCATAAGATTTCTTGTGCCAGAAGAATTATTTTAATCTGACAGTTTTACCCCTATCTTGATCTTTTTTTTTTGTTTGTTAAAATCAGATTCATTTAACAAAAATGTAAAGGTAAAATTGAAAATAAAGGATATCTACTTAAAAATTTGTCTATATACATCTTTTTTGTGAGACTGTTAGGTTGGACGATTTTACCCCTACACCCTAATTTAAATGTTTTTTTTTAAATAATCATAAAAACAGGTATATATACGAGTGTAGAGGTGATTTGAAGTGGAATTTTTTAGATTTGGTTTAAAAAAAGTTAATTTTTTTATAGATAAAGTTTCATCTAATTTTGGTAGAACACGTTTTCTAGAGTTCTGCGAAACTCAGAATGTGTATTCTGCATTTTTGTACATGTTCTACATATTTCAGATAAGATTTCTGTTCTGAGAATTTTAGAAATCCGAAATATATCTAAAATATTTAGAACATGCATTCTACGTTTTTCTCTATGTTCTAAATATTTTAGAATAGACGTTCTAATAATTTCTACATCTTCTGCCATCGTTAGAAATTGTAATCTTCGTTTAGAATGTAAATTCTACGATATTGCAGATTTCGATTTCTGTAATTTTTAGAATGCTCTAAATATAGAAAGTAAATATTCTAGAAAAAGAAACAAAATATTTTTTTTAGATTACGATTTAAATGAATATTTATTGTTTAGATTACGATCTAATATATGATTTGAGTTTATGATTTTCTGATTTGAGTTTTGAGTTTTGGGGTTCAGTTTTGAGTTTCTGATTTTATTCTAATAATTTTCGTTTTGCTGTTTTGAGTATTAGATTCGCTTATACTTATGTTCGTGTTTTTGTGTTTTGATTTATGGATTATGATCATGGTTTTGTTTTGAAGTTATGGATTCACTTCTACGTATGATCTTAAGTATGTACCGGATCAAATTATACATGAACCAAGAAATTTACTAACACAAACCAAAAATTTTAAAATAACCAAATACTAACATAAACTGGAAAGTCTAAAAATAAGGAAGACAAGTACTGATAGAGAAAAATAAGGAGTCGTGTGTCACAAAGGTTGAAGACAGTGATTTACATTGTGACGATTCACGCAAATGGGGGAGTCTTTTATTAGGTCTTATGAAAGACTTTTATTCATTTGGAGGTTTTGTGATTTTTCTATTTCTGTTTTAATTTTGTAAACTTAATTATGAAGTTTTATTTTTTGAATTAATTTTGAGAAAAAATGAGGGTAAAGTTGGGTTTTGATTTTAAAAAACCTATTTGACCAATCTACACAAAAAAGGGATATATGGACAAATTTTTAAGTAGATATCCTTTATATCCAATTTTCCCAAATGTAAAGTCAGTATAAAAACTGATGGTTAAAAACTTCAAAAAAACATTTTTTAGGTTCACATTGGAGAGATCAGACCTGAGCAATCAGGGGTATTATTGTCATTTCAAGTACAGAAAATTTATTAACTTTGTACACGAGGAGTATTTATTTTTATTTAAAACAACAACACAGTTAATAAATATTCTTCCTTTTCACACACAAAGACATCGGAGGAGAGATAAAGGGCAAAAACAAAAACAAAGATCCGAAAATTTTCCTCTGAAAATATCTCAGAGATTCTGAGAGCAAAGCAAAGTAAAACAAAAAAGGAAGAAAATTTACCACATTTCGGAATTATTATGCATTAAATTTTGCATTGGATCTGTTCCAACGAGAAATATCTCTCTGTGAGAAAAGAAAAAATTGAATTCTTTTTTTCTATCCTCTGTTCTTCCTCGTCTTTTCTTAGCTCTTACCCAGAAAAATAGAGGATAACAAAAAACTGTTTCTTTCGACGATCGTAACACTTTCTCTGTGATTTTGCCTTTCTTCTGTTGTTGTTGATCATCGTCTTTTCTTACATGCGACCCCCCATGTCAGACACTCAGCATGTACAGAGCTCCATGGTGTCGATTCGATCTTCCGACAAAATCGAAGGTAAGTTTCTTCTAATCTCGAGAGATCCATATGATCCGGTCTGGTTTTTCCGTAATGCGTTTGAAAGATCATACTGAGTTTGATCATCCATTATAACTCATTGTGATTTCAGCAAATTTTATAGCATTTTGGAAATTTGATCTCTACTTATGAGTTTTATTTACGTTTTCTGTTTGCTTTTTTAATATCTAGTGATCAAGTTTGGAGATTTCTGTTGTTGTTGTTGGTATGATGATCTTGTAGATGCGTTTAGGAAGATGAAAGTAAATGACAACGGCGGGGAGGAATCGAATCCGTATCCAGATCGTCCCGGTGAAAGAGATTGCCAATTCTATTTAAGAACTGGTCTCTGTGGCTATGGAAGCAGTTGCCGTTACAATCATCCTGCTCATCTTCCACAGGTTAGAAACAAAACTTAATCTATTTGGCTGATTCTTACTTAAGTTGCAATTTTTGCCTCATGGCTTACTGATTTTAAAACATCTTAATAGGATGTTGCTTATCACAAGGAGGAGCTCCCTGAGAGAATTGGACAGCCAGATTGTGAGGTGCAGTTTCTTGCATCTCTCATGGTTGTTGTTTGGATGAGTGCATTGTCGAGAGAGAAAAACGATATTTTGTTCAGTGTGATGCATTTGACTTAAGGTTTTTGTACATTTAGCAAAAGTAAGAGAACTTATTCTAGTTTGTATACATCACTTAAGAGGTAACAAGAATCTACATTGAAACTGCAGAACATATTCCTCTTGTCTGGTTTAGTCTTTCCTCCAAATGTTTGCTTTATGTTTTCCAAACGACTTTTCTCTTTTACATGCAATTCCGTTGCAGTATTTTCTGAAGACAGGAGCTTGTAAGTACGGCTCAACTTGTAAATATCATCACCCAAAGGATAGGAACGGTGCACAACCTGTAATGTTCAATGTTATCGGTTTACCTATGCGTCAGGTAATTTCCATCGTTGTAGCTACATTCATTTTTTGTCGAATGTGGAAGACTTATTTTGAATTTCTTCTCCAGGGTGAGAAGCCATGTCCATATTACCTGCGAACGGGAACTTGCAGATTCGGAGTTGCTTGCAAATTCCACCATCCTCAACCTGATAATGGACATTCTACTGCATATGGAATGTCTAGCTTTCCTTCTGCAGGTTTACAATATGCTAGTGGATTAACAATGATGTCTACATATGGAACTTTGCCGCGTCCGCAAGTTCCTCAGTCCTACGTGCCAATCATGGTTTCACCCTCTCAAGGCCTTTTACCTCCTCAAGGCTGGGCCCCTTACATGGTTTGTCTGAATTGAAGCTGCCAATAACTTAAACCTGTTCTTAACCGTTGATATGACATGTTATGAGTTTTTGTTATGTTGCAGCCTGCATCTAACTCCATGTACAATGTGAAGAATCAACCTTATTACTCCGGTTCTAGTGCACCCATGGCCATGGCTGTGGCATTGAACCGTGGTTTGTCAGAAAGTTCTGAACAACCAGAATGTCGGTTTTTTATGAACACCGGGACATGTAAATACGGAGACGATTGCAAATACAATCATCCCGGAGTAAGGATTTCACAACCACCACCAAATCTTATAAACCCTTTTGTTCTTCCAGCGAGACCTGTAAGTCTCTTGCTAAACTGAAAGAAGAGCTTTGGTTACAAAAATGTGGTCTTGATTTGGTATCTTACAGGTCAAATAACTAATATTTTGAACATCTAATGAGCCTTTGTTCTGATTTTTGCTATCCAGGGACAACCAGCTTGTGGTAACTTCAGGTCTTATGGATTCTGCAAGTTCGGAAGAAACTGCAAATTCGACCACCCGATGCTGCCATATCAGGGCCTGACCATGGCGTCTTCTCTGCCTACTCCTTATGCTTCACCTGTTTCAACCCATCAGAGGATCTCACCATCGCCAAACCGCTCTGATTCGAAGTCTCTTTCTAATGGTAAACCTGACGTGAAGAAGGAAAGCTCAGAGACTGAGAAAGCAGACAAGGATTCTGGACAATTGAATAACTCAGAAGTGCAGGATTTGTCTGAGAATCCGTTATCACCATGATCATGATTCTTAAAGACCCCAATGATCTCTCTCTGCCCTTTTTTGTGGAAGAGGAGGGGAGGTGAAAAGTGTTTCCTTTTTTTTTTTAAATGGTTGGAGGTTGCCATGGCTGAAAACAATATAGGATGAAAGTGATGTCACAGTTTTCTCTTCTGTTTTTGACTCTGTTAATAAATTTTACATCAGAGGAAAGATTACCCTTCGTGACACTCACTAAGTAAAATTTACATGAGTTAACAAAAACGAAATTTTTTAAATAATTTTTAAAATTCCATTATATGATCTTATTTTTTAAAAATACCATAACGCTAGTTACCAATCATCAGTCAATTTGAATTTGAAAATAAAAATAAAAAAAGGTTTGCAATTTTCAATTTCATTTGAACATTCCAAGTAAAGAGTTGAAAACTGAAAAGCGTTGTTTTTAGGCATTTTTGTCGGAGAAAAATCTGGGGGTTAAAGCTTCTTCCTTTGCGTGACAAGGAATCTCCCCGTTGGGTTTTTGTGGCCGACGATTTGTGCACGCAAAACCAGAGAACTCAATCTCTATTCCGCCGAGTCGACTCACTCCGAGTTTCCTCAGCCGCATCAGGGAATCATGAATCGGCTGAGAGGCCGAGGTGCATCGCTTCTGGGTTCGGCAGTTGTGCCTCAGCTGAAGAAAAAAGCCCTTAATTCATTGGTCGCCGTCCAGGATTCGTATCTCTCCACCAAGGTGATCGATCCCTTTTCTCTGTTCTGTATACGTCTTTTTCTTTTTGATCAAAGGATTTCAATTTGATACCGATTTTTGAAGAATTGGGATTAGGAAATGTTTTGTTCATCAGGGTTTTTGTTAGATTGTCTGTGTATAATCTGCTGCTGCTTGATGGAGTTTCGTTTAATTTCTTAGGACTTGTTCGAGAGGCACAGGGTCGTGTTTACAGTTGGAACTTCTATTGCATCTGTTGCTACGGCTTGGATTGGTATGTTACAGTTCGATATTTTGCTTACTTTATTTTCAATTGTAGAGACATTCATTACTTGTTACCACGTATTTGAATGTTTTTAGTTGCTGAATTGGTGAAGTGATTCAGATTTTGGGTGTTATTTGGCTTCAATTCATGAATTGTGTTTGATTGGGATAAATTTACCTCTCAGGGTTGATCTCTAGGGGTGAAATCCATTCTCTGATAAATTTGAGGCCTTTTTCCTGATCGGACTATAGATTAACGGTTTAGCTGATTTGATCTGCCATAAATTTTTCAAGTTTTTGTTCAGAATTACTATGTGCTAATGTTCAATAACTGATCTGTCCAAAACTTACAATAACTGAAGTTCAGTACTTGAGATCTATACATGATTTTAATAGGTCCTTTGTTATTCTGCTGGGATATAAAATAAGTTAGAAACTGAGCTTCTTGTGTGATACTAGTGACCGTTGGAAAAAGTATCTCATTGGTCTTTTGTTTATGTTTGTACTGAGTCAAATGAGTTTTATGACCGTGTTCTACCCAATGGATGAATGATTGTGCAGGTTACTCATTACGACATTACAATGAAACTAGAATTAATCAGAGGCTGGAGTCCATTGAGAATGCGGTTAGTGTGTCCCTCATTTACCAAACTTTATTGCACATCGCTGCTTTGGATTTAGCTGCTTGCATAGTTGGAATCATATAGCTGCTCTTCTGTTGAAACTCTTGCAAATGACTTGGTGCTTCATATTATGATGTCTAGTTATTGATCATTTATCATCAACATACAGCTTAATTGTCGAAATTTTCATCCTAGTTTTTTAAGTCCTCTTTCCGCTAATAATATTCCCTTGTTTTTTTGCAAATACAAATGTACCTTATTGATCCTTAGTTTCTCTATTGTCTCAGTCTGTCACTTGAAAAGTTGAAATGTTTGCTTTTTCTCATGCCAGATGAAAAACACCCAAGAGTTAGAACGAGGAGAACTGAAGAAGCTCGTTGATCCAGTCGGTTCCAGGTTCACTACAACAATTGCAACCGCTGGAACCACTTTGATCCTCGGGTTTGTTTCCGCGAAGACTGTTAGGTTGACAAGTTAGATGCTGTGTCGGGTTTTTCATTAATATTTTCTGTGTGGTGTTTTCAGGTATGGTTTGGGTTGGCGAGGCGGGATATGGTATGCAAATAGGAAGTTTAGAAGGGAGCAAATGAGATTGGCCGGGCAGTTAAAACCGAGAGAATGGAAGTTATTAGGAAGGATAAAACCTCGAGCTTGGCCAACAACAAAGTTTCTCAGACGACCATTCCCAAGACAGAACAAAACAGCAGAAAATGCTTTGAAGGCACCAGAAAGTGCGAGTTAAAAAATAAATGAAAAAACCGGCAAGAACGAAAAATGTATTTCAAGTGTTTGTTCGGAAAACGAACTACTATTCTTTATTCTCTGGAGAATCTTGACATCAATATAAAGAGTTTTGTCTTGAAGCCTAAGGCTCTTCTGTCTTTTTCTTCCTTGTAGCGAGGAAATTGAGACACTCTATATATATTTTTTCTCTTAAATTGTTGTGTGGTAAAACCAAGTTCGAAAATGAAATAGAACAGGAGTGTTAAATCTCTTATTACGTGAAAATGAAAATGAAGAAGAGTGAAAATGAAATAAATTTTTAATAAAAATTATTATTATTTTTTAAAAAATGAGTTTAAGTGTTAAAATTTATATCACGTGAAAACATGCCGAACTTCGAATACCAAAGCTTACGGACCAACAAAGGACATGATGCCAATGCGCGGTTAGTTTTCGACGTTTTTAGAATTTAACACTTAAACTAATTTTTAAAAAGCAATAGTGAAATTAACATGGTTTTGATTAAAAACATTATTTTCTTTAAGTTCAAGTGTTAAGTTTGTTTTAAATTTTTAATGAAAATCATTACTATTTTTTAAAGATGAGTTTAAGTGTTAAATCTATATTACGTGAAAACATGCCGAACTTCGAACACCTCTTACGGACCAACTAAGGACATGATGCTTAGGCGCGGTTAGTTTTCGACGTTTTTAAAATTTAACAATTAAACTAAGTTTTAAAAAGTACTAGTGAAATTAAAATGGTTTTGATTAAAAACATTATTTTCTTAAAGTTTTTAAGTGTTAAGTTTGTTTTAAATTTTAGTCAAAATCACTAAAAAATAAGTTTAAGCATTAAATATATATAACGTGAAAACATGCCGAACTTCGAACACCAAAGCTTACGGACCAACAAAGGACAGGATGCCTAGGCGCGGTTAGTTTTCGACGTTTTTAAAATTTAACACTTAAACTAAGTTTTAAAAAGTAATAGTGAAATTAAAATGGTTTTGATTAAAAATATTATTTTCTTAAAGTTTTTAAGTGTTAAGTTTGTTTTAAATTTTAGTCAAAATCACTATTATTTTTTAAAAACGAGTTTAAGTGTTAAATCTATATTACGTGAAAACATTGCCGAACTTCGAACACCAAAGCTTACGGACCAACTAAGGACAGGATGCCTAGGCGCGGTTAGTTTTCGACGTTTTTAAAATTTAAAACTTAAACTAATTTTTAAAAAATAATAGTGAAATAAAAAAAATAATTTAACATTTTAAAAATCTATTAATTTTCAAATTAAAAAAAAAAAAAAAAAAAAGTAAAACACGAAGAAGGGATACGAGAATTACCTGGCCAATCTTCATGGGCTTGGGATTCTTTGATGGGCTGGAAATTATCCTCTGTTTTATTTGGGCTGGAAATCGTACTGGATTTTCTGATGAAACGCGAGAATTTTTCCTTATCTGATATCCCTCGAAGTCGTCTTCTCTCTCATGAACCTTCACCGTAACATCTTCATCCCCGTAATCCTTTGTTCTCCACTCCATGCTGAACCAAATTCTTATGTGTATGCCTCATTAAACATCATCCAAAATAGCCGTTGTATGACGTCATCATAAATAATCACCGACGAAGAATTTTCCTCCATCTCGTTGTCAATTTCCGTCGTGTTCTCTCATATTCCGGCCACAACTTCATCACCGTAACTCTAAATCCCTTGTAACCCAAGATTCACCTTTAAATATCTCCTTGCCATCCCTAATGATCCGCCGAAGAGATACGGACGAACCCAACGAATAATTCTCATAACGGCTTCGACATAACTTGCTCAAGAAGAAACTCAAGTTTTTTAAAGAAGAAGAAGAAGAAAGAGCACTTTAGGGTTTTGCTCTTCGAAGAATGAGAACTTGATTCTTAAGAAGATAGTGTATACTAGTATTTATAAGGAAAAGTTATGACCGAAAGAAAAGGAAATTTATTTTAAAAAGAAAACAAAAAGGAAATTAAGGTCTAGTTAATTCCTTTTATCACTAATTAGGAAAAAGGAAATCAATCAATAATTGAGCACGTGACAATTTAATTTCGTTTTCATCAATTTCTTTTTTAATTATCCTCTGTTTTATCACTACTATTCTTTATTCTCTGGAGAATCTTGACATCAATATAAAGGGTTCCTCTGTTTATGAAGAAAAAGAGAATAAAGAGTGTGCTGACGTGTAACAATATCATTGGTGCGTACACGTAAGTCGACGTAGACAAGGTTTTTTAGTTCTCGTGTGTCCTGAGAGTGTCTCTTTTTGTGTTTTTGGTGGAGAAGAAAGAGAGGGAACAAACTATGGAAAGAAAAATGTACAAATCAACGTTGTTCCCAATTTGCTGCGTGTTGTTTGCCTTGTTCGATCGCGGCAATGCTCTCTATGGATCTTCTTCGCCTGTTCTTCAACTTACTCCTTCTAATTTCAAGTCTAAGGTATGGCCTTTGATTGGTTGTTTCCATCTCTAGATTCCTTCACTTTCTTTCTTTTTTATATGATTCCTTGTAAAATGGACTTTTTGTTGTTCTTTTCGGGTTATGAGGCAATGTGGGAGCATGTATGTAGTGATATCTAATGTATTTTCTTCTCCTTGTAAATGGTTGGTAGGTTCTTAATTCAAATGGTGTCGTTTTGGTAGAGTTCTTTGCGCCATGGTGTGGTCATTGTCAATCTCTAACACCAACTTGGGAGAAGGTTGCTAATACGTTGAAAGGTATTGCTACTGTGGCAGCCATTGATGCTGACGCTCACAAGTCTGTCTCTCAGGTTTGTGTTATTTTGTCAATGTGATTGTGATTGATGAAAACTTTTCTGCATCCTTGTGATGATAAAGACTGTTCTCTCCCTCTACTAGGATTATGGTGTGAGGGGTTTCCCAACCATTAAAGTATTTGTTCCCGGGAAGCCTCCAATTGATTACCAAGGAGCAAGGGATGCCAAATCCATTTCTCAATTTGCTATCAAGCAGGTTTGTCCATATCCTCACTGATTCTTGATTACATTTTTGTTATTGGGACCTTATCCTTTTTGGCTTCACAGATAAAGACGCTGTTAAAGGATCGTTTGGATGGTAAAACAACTGGTACAAAAAATGGAGGAGGAAAATCTGAGCCTAGCGCCTCTGTGGAACTAAACTCTAGCAACTTTGATGAGTTGGTCGTTGAAAGCAAACAACTTTGGATTGTCGAGTTTTTTGCACCTTGGTAAGTAGTAACTCTTGAAATGTTCACGCCTCTCTAATCTTCTTCTTCCGGATATCTGAAACTGGAAACCATATTTTTCTATTTATCGTCCAAGGTGTGGACATTGCAAAAAGCTAGCTCCTGAGTGGAAAAAGGCTGCTAACAAGTTGCAGGGGAAGGTCAAACTAGGTCATGTCAATTGTGATGCTGAGCAGGTAATAATTAGATTTATGAATTTAGCATTAGTTAATCCCTATAACTTGTTAGCCATTTTTCTAAAGCATGTACAGCTATCACATTTTCTACTTCTTATGATCAAATCAAACGCTTGTTTTCATATTGGTGTTGATGAGACCTGACAAGGTCTTATATATTGCAGTCGATAAAGAGCAGATTCAAAGTGCAAGGATTCCCCACTATCTTGGTCTTTGGTGCAGACAAAAGTAGCCCAGTACCTTATGAGGGTGCTAGATCTGCATCAGCAATAGAATCTTTTGCTCTGGAACAGCTAGAATCCAATGCTGGACCTGTTGAAGTAACTGAACTAACTGGGCCGGTACTGTTCTGTTCCCTAACATTGTCTTCTACTTGTCTCCAACCCAAGCCATTGACCCTCCTTTTTTCTGTCCTGATTGAATAGGATGTCATGGAAGAGAAGTGTGGTCCTGCTGCTATTTGTTTTGTTTCTTTCTTACCTGACATTCTGGACTCAAAAGCTGAAGGAAGGAACAAGTATCTAGAGATGTTATTATCAGTTGCAGACAAGTTTAAGAAAGACCCTTACGGGTGAGCTTAGAACACATCTCTTCTCTCTTTGTTACTATCATCATATTCCAGCTGCCAGTTACTCTGTTTTTGCAGAAACTAGATAATTGTTCGAATTTTGATTGTGTTTGCAGCTTTGTGTGGGTGGCTGCTGGGAAGCAACCTGATTTGGAGAAACGTGTTGGTGTTGGAGGATATGGTTATCCAGCAATGGTAGCCTTAAACGCAAAGAAAGGAGCTTATGCTCCACTTAAAAGCGGTTTTGAGGTTAAACACCTCAAGTAAGTGTACCTTCTGTCTTTCTCTCTATCCTATATAATCAAACCAATGATCCATGCACATTATTTTTTGGTAGCAAGCTCAAAACGGGTCTTTTCTTATTTGTATTATCAGAGATTTCATAAAGGAAGCTGCGAAAGGAGGAAAAGGGAATTTGCCTATAGACGGAACAATGGAGATAGTGAAGACAGAAGCTTGGGATGGTAAAGACGGAGAGGTGGTTGATGCAGATGAATTCTCACTTGAAGACCTCATGGGAAATGATGATGATGCCTCCACTGAGTCCAAGGAAGACTTGTGAACTTCTCTTTTACCTCATTGATAAGGGTTTGGTTTCTTGAAAGACTTAACGTGTCCCACTCAAGGACAATGATATCATTTCAAAGAGTTAGAACAGAGAGTATACACTTTTGGATTCCATATAGATACAGAATTTGGTGAATCCTTCTGCTTTGATATGAAGTTGAACAAGCTAACTAACAGTCTAACCACTTCAGAGACTAATTCATCAACCAATAATTACCATAGCCTATTTATAAACCACAGTAATTACAAAGATTATATTTCTTTCAGACAGAAATATCATTCACAGTTTAGTCAACATCAAATACAAAAATAGTATACAAAGCTTTGTTTGTTTTGGTAGTTGAGTCTGGTGTAAACTACAAGTTGGGTTTCCAAGTCGTAGATCGTGGTAGCTTTAAACGCCATTGAGGCTGTTGGGACGAATCCAAGTAGGCGACATCGCTACAAACTGTGATTTCAGAGCTTGAGCAGATGATTTCCGCATTCTGAAGTGTAAATCCGTGGATTATGGGCAACGGAAATCCCTTTTCTAGATGGTCATTTGCATATGGCACAAACACTGTTTGTATAACAGTCCACACTATTGGCTAGAAGATCGGAACAAGATAAAGAAACACATGTAGATGTTAAGAATGAATGAAATTTTCTCTGAAACAAACATGGGAGTGCTTTAAACACTTGACATGATGGTTTTACCTGAAGAAGATGCAGATGGAGATTTCCAATGTTGCTCCATTTCAAAGACATGGAGAAATCTTCTAAACTTACGCTGCCTCCAAGGTTATTACCCATGACTCTGAGAGCACCAGATCCCCGGATCATCTGCAGCAAAGGAAACAGTGAATCATCTGTTGGTAAACTAACATCACTGCAAATCTGCTTATATAGCATTGTCATTGGAGGACTCACCAAGGAGATGCATGCTACTGGTATAACTTGGCTTGCATCTAGAACATTGATTACTAAGTCTGCATTAACATTAGCTCCAACGTATTGCTCTGATATCTTTACACGCGGAGGTGAAGACAAACTGATGTTCAGACTCATATCCTGGTTCGGGTACTTCTTGTATAGTTGTGGAATGATGAACCTCCACCTAGCAGTGTTTAAAAGAGCCTGCTCTGGTATTTTATCCACAACCCATTGCACAAAGTCTGCCTGAATATGGCAACAGTGAACATCCTCATATTAGAAACAACAGTGGAAAATAGTGATATTGTTTCTGATGTATCAGAAACAGATAGAACAGTTTTATCAAGAGCAATCTTCTAGTTGACTATATTTTACACGAGGAACCAAAAGAATTAGAAAATGAGGAACTTACATTATAGTACAGAGCTGCAGCAGAGTTAAAAACAGCTTCATCCACTGAAATTCCGAGCATTTTAGAATTTCCAGGGCAGATAACTAAAGATACAGACTTTCTGAAGAAGGACTTTAAGAATTGATTTGTTTCTCCTTTGGTGAACAAGCCATCAATCTCAAAAGTGATAGATGAATTTCTCAAAATAGGATCACTGGTGAAAGTGACATTAAGGGCAGCATTATCATCCACAGGGATTTCCTTTGGAAGGTTTTGTAGGAATGAATCAAGGTCTGATACTCCTTCAGTGAGTTTCTTGGCAATGGTACTTTCCACACTTGACCCAATTTGGTCTTTAAATGCATTAACCATCCTGAATTGCAGAGAAGAGAATGAAGTTTAAAATGAATCCAACACCTGTCTTGCAATAAGAGGGAGTGGATCTATCATCATCAATAAGCAAATTATTTCCATAACTAGTAATTTCATACCCCTGATAAAACCATGATGCTCCTCCTTGCAACTCAATGGTGATGTCTTCCACATGGCATCCACATTCCGAAAGAGAAAGTTTTAAGCCTCCTTCATCAGTTTTCAAGCCTAGAGACAGCCCGATTTCCATGCCTTGAACCTTACCGAGAAGGCGAGAATCAGCACTCATCAAATTCCCTTTGTAAAACAGATATAAAAATGAGCAGATCACGCAACTAAAACCAACACATGGAAATGGTAACACAGAGAGCAACAGTCACCTCCGATTCCCATATCTAACTATGTTCTAAGACAAAAAAAGAAAGTCTTTTTGTTTTTTTGTTAAAGCTTTCTTTGATGGAACAAGAACGAAGCTAAACGCAGAACCGGTTCATAAACAAACACAAAAAGGAGAAGTAAATACGAATTTTCAACAAAATCTTCACTAAAAATCATGACTTGACTTTGCTTTTGCTTCAATTTGAACAATTTCTAGATGATCAAAACTAAGAATTAGTAAAATGAATCGTAATTACCTGAACAGATGCAATACCCTGATCAGAGATTTCAATAGGAGGAAGCCAAGTACTGTAAGAATAATGCCAATTCATACTCAAATTACAAGTCGTCCCTGAAGCGACGATGACAACACCTGTCTCACCAAGCTTAACATAAGACGACGCAACGTCAAGCTCGTATATCGTCAGATTCGAGACAACAACATCGATTCCTCCGAGGAACGGGATTTTCACAGATTTCTCGATCCTGGGAATCTGGAGAGGTATAATCGACGCGATTGCTTTGTTAACTAGAAGATTTTTGACGAAATCGAGTCCGTTTTGAGATACGAGAACCGATGTGAATGAATGGCTGCTCTGTGTTTGTGAAGGCAAGAAGAAGAAACTTGGTAATAGAAGAAAGAGAAAGCATCGTCCAGCATCCATGGCGGAAATTCAAAGCTTTTTTTTTCTAGCTTCGATGAAGAACAGGTTAATACAGTGCAGTTGCGTAATGGTTTGGATTATTGAGAAATGTCTAAAATAACCTTAGTCATTCGATTTGCATTGCCTTGTGGGGGACCGGGGGTAATCTGATTGAAAATGAAGTGTTTGGGGTGATAACATAAATTTTAAAAATATTTGTCTTTCTGGTCAATTTAAGTTAAAGCTGAGGTCTAAAGGGTAAAAGATTGACGTAAGAGTATAATATGTAAGTTTTATGTTAGCCCTAATAGTTTCTCTCATCCGCAATCACCCATTATATTTGTTTATCCTCTCGATCTCCGTAGAGACCATGACCGGAGATGTCAACGGTAAGATCTGTAACTCTTGCTCGAAATTGTTCTGGATTAGATTTCATCTGTCATGTTTAACTAGCCGATCGAATCAAACTTTTTTGTTTTTCTTCAGTTTCGTAATTGTGAAACCTCGCATGCAGAAGGCAAAATAAGCGTCTTATGGGACTTGACGGATTTCCCAGTCCCTGAGGGTCGCAGTATTCGTGAGATTATTGGTTCTGTTCTTGTGAAAGAGGGTTATACTGGTGAGGTGTCAATCAAGGCTTATGGTGAGACGACGAATCCGTACCCGCCTGAAGACGGATTCACATTCGTACAGAACAGTGAGATTTCCTGTACTTAATAAAAACATGCTATTTTTATATATAAATTGTGTATGTGTCTGTAATCCGTTGATATGCATTTCCAGGTGATAAATATTGGAGGCTTACTAGGATATTAGTAGACATTGGTTTATGGGCATTGGACAGCCCTGCATGCTCCCCATATTGGACCAGCAACTTTGATGGTAGTCGCAAAAAACATTGAAGAAGAAACGCAGTTCGTCCATCTTGTCCAAAATTTGAAGGCTTCATGTTACAATACCATCTTTGTAGTGCCTGACGGTTATCGCCCAGAAGAACTACCAATGCCTAATGTAAACTTAGCTTGGTATTGGAAAAGTCTACTAGAGGGAGGAGAGCCTATCCCCTATTGGGATTTACAAGTCATGTTATCTCGAATGAAACAAGATGATTCCGACGTATTTCGATTTGAAACTTCTGCTGACGAAGATATTTGTAGTTGTGCTATGTTGTGCCAAGAAGACAAGTAGCTGATGATGCATGGCTCAATCGATAATAATGTTTTATCACAATTGTACTTTTGATTTCAAAAGACTTTGGCTTTGTGTATGAAAGTTGACGCTATCTTTGTCCTCTTAAACTCTGTCTTGTCTTCAAGTGATTTGCACGGTTTTAAGTTACTAAGTATTATTGCATCTTTGAGCTTTTTTTCTATCTTCGATGAAGAACAGGTTAATACAGTGAAGTTGCGTAATGGTTTGGATTAATGAGAAATGTCTAAAATAGCCTTAGTCATTGCATTTGCATTGCCTTTGCCCTTTAGTCAAGAAGATTTAACAAACCGTGTTAGATCGAACGGCTAAAATGATAGTAGTAGAATACAGAAGATCTTGACGGTTCAGATCAAAGAAGCATTGATAAACTAGGATCCAACGATCTACAGTCTTCCAAGAATATTAGCCCTAATAATAAGTCTCTCTTAACATAAAAAAAAAAAAAAAAAACCGATCAGAACCATATATTCTTGGGTTATTCTTTTGTTTATCCGCTCGATCTCCATAGAAACCATGACCGGAAATGCCCACAGGGCATGATTATCAAGGGTTTCTTAACAATGACTCTTAGTAATTTTTTGTATTAAAATATTAAAATTTACCTCTTACAAACATGTTTTGGCTCTTAGCTAAGAAACCTTTCTTACCAATCTTATTATTTGCCATTTAATTAAATACTTTTTAATACTTCAGATTTTCCTAAGATTTGGCTAAGAGCCTACCAATAATCATGGTATTGCTTGAAATTGTTCTGGATTACATATTTACATATTTATACTAAAGTGTTAACCTTATATCTAATTCTTAATGACCCATTCATATTTGGGCTTAAAAACAAACTGGCCCAATAACCTTTCTTCTACTTCTTCTACGACACAAACACAACAACGTCTTCGTCTTCTCCGAAGCGTCTCTTTGCCCACCAACGTCTTCTCATATCCAGGTCCGGTTCACTCATCGGTAAGACCCGGTGCCATACAAAAAAAATCCTATCTTTAATAAAAAATTTATATATATATATATATATATATACAAAAAGTTATATTTCATAAATTATTTTGTATTTTATAGCTATTTGGACCTGTTATTTTTGTTTATTAATTTTGGGCCTCAATATTACCTTTTAAAATAGAATTTTGGGACCTTTACATATAGATATTTTATAAAATTTCAGCATAATTAAATAGTTAAATAATAGAAAAACTATGAATTTGGACCTTAAATTTGTTGGACCCGGTGCAAATGCACCACTTGCACATGCCAATAACCGGCACTGCTCATATCAGTTCATGTTTACCAATTTGAAGATTAATCGATGATTGGATTCTAACAGTTAGCTTGTATTTTTGAGGGGACTGCTCATCTAGCAAAGTCTACTTCAAGGAATCCTTTTGCTGTTTATACCATGTTACTGTGTTCTTTAACATGATGTTTCTGGCAAGTGTATAAGAAAGCAACTACTGCACCAATCACGCGCAATGTGCGGTTGTTATAATTAAACCAAAAGAGGATTCCTTGGCATAACCAGGTAAACTACTTGCAAATCATGTCAGACTCGATTGTTCAACTTTTTAAAATTATCTTTAAGCAGTCATCAATCGTAACCCACAAGATCCATTGATTATTAATCATGTCCAAATTATTTTCTGTGAGCTTGAGGGGCTTGTCAATAGTTTTCCTTTATGACTATATCTACATTTTTGTAGATGTCAAAGTTTCTCTATAGCCTATTCCTCTCTCTTCTCTGACCGAGAATCAAATTGTCTTCATGTCTCAGGAGAGTTGTACATATGCAAGGATGACAAAAACAACCAACTTCTTAATTATAAATATGTGAAGTTTGTGAAGCTATGTAAGCAACCGCAACCACAGTATTCATAGTGAGTTTTGCATCAATCACTATCAAGTAAAATTTAGAGAGCGAGGCTAGGGACACTGCCACTGGTTGTCAATGTAATTTAGCTCGCACTCGTTGATATGTTAGTTGGACCGCAAAAAAAAAAACGATACAAACCTTGGTCAGAGGGACTACTAAGGAAACATTGTACTCTCTGGCCATCAAAGTTGCAAGGACATTGAAAAAGTCCGTGTTTTTCTCTGGGATGTCTTTTGCAACTATGAGAAAATTTGTTTCCATATTTGGTCGTTCATCCATAAGATTGTAGAATGCCCAGTAAAGCATGTCCACTAGCATCTTACTGAGTCTCACATGCTTTTCAGCCGCTGGAAATTCATATCAACGGAGATATATGCAGATTACAAGACATGAATATATACATATATATTAAAAAGAAAAAAAGAAAAAAAAAAAAAGAGAGGACTTTGTTTACCTCTGTGTACAAGCTCGATATTGGAACTGTAAAAGTCGATCCATTTTGCATCCACACCACCATAAGCATAGATTGACAGGTCACCAATATAACCCTCAATCCGAAGAGCATGTTTGACTTTACTATAAAACGAATCCAAATTGCGATCCTCAGGGACTGGGAAATCAAGGACGTCCCAGAAGACGCGTGTGTTAGCAGCTGCGAACGGGGCAACGCATAAAAACAAAATTAGGAAACGATCATCAGACCCATCAATTTGGAGCAAGAGATAGAGAACAATTTCTACCGGAAATTGACAATGACTCCGAGAAAAAAGAATTAAAATTTTAGGGTTAGAATTTATAGACAAGTGATTGTCGAGCAAGTTACGTGAGAACTGAGAAGGTTGTCTCTCTCTGCTTGGGCCTGTGGCCTTTTATTTTGGGCTTTATTGTCTGGTATGCCTTTTTTAATTAATGGGAATATATGTCTAAAAAGATAAAACCTTGGGCCATTCGATTTGTGGGGGTAATTTGATTCAAATCGGAAGTTTCAGGGTGATAACATAAATTTAAAAAGTATTTATCTTTCTGGTCAATCAAAGCTAAAATTGAGGTCTAGAGGACGGTAATCGGTCTCTTACGGTGGCTTGGCGACACGGAACAGAGAATTAATCATCGAGAAAAAAGCCGGCGAGCTTGTAACCGGAATTCATGGCGATGCAAGCCGGTGTTCAGACCTCTAAGGTCCTTATCCTACTCGGCGCAGGTCTCTTTCTCACTTTGATGGTTGATTAATTATGTTTGCATTCGACTCTGTAATCTAGGGATACTTTTCTCGAGTTTATGAAGATTTAGGGTTGGAATTTATATTTATCTTAAATTCTGGCAATTTTATTGATCACTATGCAAAAATGGTCTAATTTGCTTCAATTATTAGTCTAGTTTTGATGCTAATAACATCTTGGATGTTGCAAGAATGATGTATAGTTTGATTCTAGCTCATATGTTCTATTAATGACCTTTTTTGATACTTTGGTCTGTTTTCATCATGTTCAAGGTGTATCTGGTTCGATCGTATTGAGACATGGGAGGTTGTCCGACCTAATAGCCCAGCTTCAAGAGTTACTCAAAGGGGCTGAAGGAGTTGAAAGCACTCCATTTAAGTATGATGGTGCACTCCTAGCTGCTCAGGTATTCTCATTTCCTTTTGCCCTGTAAGCTTAATTTTCTCATCGATCCAACAAATACAATTGATAATTCATGTGCTTCTTGTAATCATTAGGCCAATGCTGGACTCCCTTCTTAGTGACATAATTTTTGTTTTTTCTTAATAACCAGATTCGACAGCTTGCAAACGAGATCAAAGAACTAACTATGACCAATCCAGTTACCATCTTTAATGGAGATTCAAACTCCAATGGTATGTACATGTCTTTAGTTTTTCATTAAGGTTTATGTACGACTTTTAATAATCTAGGAACTGTTTCAAATATGTTTATTTTTTATGAGAAACACAGAATAATAATCTTTGCTTTTGCTGATGTAGGCTATGCATCTTACCTGGTTCCTGCGGCTGCCGTTGGAGCTATGGGGTACTGCTACATGTGGTGGAAGGTGCTTATCTCTTGAAAATCTGTCTAGTTTTCTATGTTCCATGTGTCTTTTGTTATAGTTTTTTGTTTTGTAACATTTAGTTTATTGATGCACTATATATCATTGACTTCTAACGTTTACCCACATCTTACTCTTACATTGCAGGGCTGGTCATTTTCGGATGCAATGTTTGTGACAAAGAAAAATATGGCTGATGCGGTTGCCTCTGTTTCGAAACAACTAGACGATTTGTCAGACACATTAGCGGTGAACAAATACTTTTTTGAGACATTCCTTTGTTTTATATGTTACTTGTGGTTTTTGACTCGATGCATTTTCTTACGCAGTCAACAAGAAAACATCTTTCTAATAAGCTAGCGACCTTGGATTGGAAGGTGGAAGAGCAGAACGAGACATCTAAAATGATCTTAAGTGATGTAAGAAACCCATTTTATTTCTCACCTTCTTGTATTGATGCCTTAAGATTAGGATAATTATACATTAGTCTAAGAGAGGTCTCACACGTGATCGGCACACTTGTACATTTGACATCTTATAAGGATTTGAAGCACATTTAGAATTCCAAAAGATTGTAGAGTACATATTTATTAACGTCCCTGAACTGTTTTTCTTCACATGTACAGTAGATTCCTTAGTTTCTTTCAGCTAGATTCTTATTTCTGCGATTTATTCCATCATTGCCTTTCTTTGATATTCATTTTAATGGTAATGTTCACATGGAATCTTGCTTCGATGCAGGTAACTGAGATGAGGTCAAGCATTTCGCAAATTGGGTTTGATTTTAAGAAACTAAATGAAATGATTTCTGGAATAGTAAGTCTCATCTTTGTCATCTATATGCATATTTCGGACAATTCTCAATTTATGTTAAAGGGACTAATATCTTTCTTAAATCAAATTTTTACAGGAAGGGAAGATTGGAAGTCTTGAAAGCAAACAAGTACTTTGTCTACAACCATTAGATATCAACTACAAACCACTTCACACTATCAGTTTTCTTAAAACTAATTTATCTCAAACATCTATTTTTTGTTAAATTTTAGGATGTGACCCTCTCAGGACTATGGCATCTATGTCAAGTTGCAGGCGTTAAAGATAGCACAAGCACTAAAGTATTTCAGGTGAGTGTTAACTTACAAATTAAGAGACCCATTTTCTTACTTTTTTTTTTCTCCCGTAATTATAGGCCTGATTGAAAAAAAAATCTTGTTTCTGGCTTTGTGGTTTAGGATGTTGGTGCGAGATTACCTATCGATGGAAAACCATATACTAATAATTCTCTCTCGGTAAGAATGCTACGATAACCTATCTTTCGTCATCTAAATGAGCATTTCAATTCTATTGATGTAGTGGAAAAAAAATCAAGAAGATCATTAGTCTTGAATTTACATATATTCAAGGCAGTCTCTCATCAATCTCATTCGAATAACATGGAACCTGGAATACTTGTAGTAGCTGTTATTTGATTATCTCATGATGTTTCTTTGGCTTTTTAAAACTTTTAAACTATGAAAACTCCAGGGTCTGCGGTTTCTGACGGAAGGCAAAGAGGATGCAAACGTAATACACAAGCCGGTTTTGGCGAAAGAAATAGCGGTGGTGGAGGAAAAAACAAAAGCCGCAACCGTGACAAGAAGCAGAGTTCATAGAGCGTTTCCGGGTGGAATATCTTGGGTACGGGATGTTTCAGGACTATCCTAATATTATTTTGGTTGATATACGAAGAATTTGCTTGTATTCGTCCCAAATTCTGATACTGGGACTGGCAATTATTTTTTGATGTAAAAAAGAAGAAAAGAAAAACTACATATGTTATTGCATCCACCAACAATTTGGTTTGCCCCTAATTATTTGGTCTCCTCTTGATGTTTGTAAAGAAAGAGTGTGAATAAGGCTTTCATGTATGCCGTGGTCTTCACTGATTTGGACATTTGTGCTCCTTTTTCCTTTTGAGTTTGGATCAAAAAAAATTGTGAATCGAAAAATTTGAGAAATAGAATGAACTACTACTGTCTTTAAACATTTGTTCTTCCTTTATCGTGGGATTATTGGATTAAGTTGGCAGAGAAAGAAAACTTTCGTCCTTATTGGGCCAAAAAGGCCCAAACTAGATATAGAGGTAGCCCAAAGTCAATTTAACCCGAAATAAATAATCCAATCGGGTGAATTTGACACCAATTAAAAAACCCGACCCGACTTGTTATATTAACATAGGCCTGGGCAAAAAAACCGTACCCGAGTACCCGAACCGAAACCGACCCGAAAAAACCGGTTCGGGGCGGGTACGGGTATTAGCTATTTACCCTATTGGGTCTTGTATTGCCGTACCCGTGGGTATAGGGTAAAACCCGATCCGAACCCGATACCCGAACGGGTACCCGATTACCCGAAATTACATATACTTATACATATAAAACTTTTTATATATGTAATATTTGAGCTAAATACATTTATATCTAAATATCCGAGAATAGTTACCAAAAACTAAATGCACTTATATTTAAATATTTAAGACAAAATATATTTATACGCGAGATGCTTGTAAATTTTTTAAATATTTGGAAAAAATTCCGGTTATTCGGATAAATTTTCGGGTGAAACTCGGATATTAGAGTAAAATTGCGGATAAAATTCGGATATTAGGATAAAATTTCGGATAAAATTCGGGTATTTGGTAAAATTTTGGGTATTTGGGTATAAAATACCCGAACCCGATGGGTACCCGATTTTTTTGGGTATTTAGCGGTTCTAAAAATCTAAACCCGAACCGACCCGAACCCGATTAGATCCGAACCGAAACCGAACCGATATTTTAGATTTACCCTATTGGGTCCTAAACTCCTCTACCCGAAAGACCCGTACCCGATCGGGTTTTACCCGAACCCGACCCGCATACCCGAATGCCCAGCCCTATATTAACAGGAGGCTTGACGGAACTTGGCATCAGTTAATCGGAGCTTCGTGTCTGGATCTTCGACGTTCAACGCAAAATTCCTCTCTGGTTCATGTAAATTTCCAACATATATTTGTGGTTGAATTTGGGTAATGGGGCAAATTTATCACACTTTACGGAGTATTGAAGTAGCCTTTGTCTCCTGGCTGTTGAATTGCGATTCATTGTGTATGCTCAAGCGTTTAATTGGGAGATTCTAACGAAATTTTTGTGCTTTTTTCTTACTTAATATCATCACTGTTGATGTTTCTTCTGTGTCCCTCTTTTTATTGCCACAGTGGATAATCAGAGTCTGGGAAGATGAGCATTGTACCTAAGGAAACGGTTGAGGTAATAGCTCAAAGTATTGGGATTACCAACTTGTTACCTGAAGCTGCTCTTATGCTTGCTCCTGATGTCGAGTATCGTGTCCGAGAGATCATGCAGGTGACCTTTTTTTTTTTTTTTTTTTTCTAATCATGTCTTTGTGTTCTTGAGGTGAGGTTTTGGGTATCAGCATATTGATGTTTCTGTATTGGATGTCTTTTCAGGAAGCTATCAAATGCATGCGTCATTCTAAGAGAACGACTTTAACAGCTTCGGATGTAGATGGTGCTCTCAACTTGAGGAACGTTGAGGTACAAACTAGAAACCAATTTCTTACTTCCCATTATCTAGACTGTCAGTACATTGTTTGATAGCTTCCTCGTTTTGGTAGTGGAGTGAGAAACATATATGGTTTCTAGTTTTGAGGCTTGGCTTTACTGGTGCATATGAATAACACCATCTATTACACTTTGCTTTCACATATTTCACTACACTAGTTAACTGAATCAAAAAGGCATCTATTTGAGAATGATCATATTTATTGCAGCCGATATATGGCTTTGCCTCAGGAGGACCATTTCGTTTTAGAAAGGCTATTGGGCATCGCGATTTGTTCTACACTGATGACAGAGAAGTGGATTTCAAAGATGTAAGATGTTGGGAAAGCTGCCATATTTTGTTTTGTTTCAGTTAAGTTCTTCATTTTGGTTTTCTTATGTTTTTAAGAAATGTCATGGTTCTAGGTGATCGAAGCCCCGCTACCAAAAGCTCCCCTTGATACTGAAATTGTTTGTCACTGGCTGGCTATTGAAGGAGTGCAACCAGCTATACCAGAAAATGCTCCTTTAGAAGGTTTGTCTCTCAATCTTGTGCCCTGGGTTAGAGTTGTAAAGTCATTAACTGAATTTTTCAACATGAAACAAATATTAGTATGTACAGTGACGTTTCAGAGGTGTATAAACCTCTTTCTACAGTTGATGAACCCCGTGTTAAGTGATGAGCTACTGATGTTACTGAGGGATCAAAATACATATTTTCAGATCCATCTGTATTATTGTTTTGCGCTTCATCATGAGCAAGAAATCCTTGTTTTTTCCTATCTCGAATATATTTTTCACTTGTTTGTGCTGTCTTTAGTCATTAGAGCACCTGCAGAAAACAAAATCCATGAACAAAAAGACGGACCTCCTATTGACGTTAGGCTACCAGTAAAGCATGTACTATCTAGGGAACTTCAGGTATATGGTGCAGGCTATATACCATAGCTACTATCCTTACATGCATAAAACTTATCTGTTGTTCTCTCTCAACAGTTATACTTCCAAAAGATTGCTGAACTTGCAATGAGCAAGTCAAATCCTGCTCTGTTTAAAGAAGCATTAGTGAGCTTGGCCTCAGACTCAGGACTTCATCCTCTAGTTCCATATTTTACAAATTTCATTGCTGATGAGGTAACATTATGCACCACCAAGGTACTAGTGCAAAGCAATAAGACCCACGCTAAGTTTTTGCAGATTACAGTTTTAATTTTCTCCACTTGTGCAGGTTTCAAATGGTTTAAAAGACTTTCGACTCCTGTTTAATCTAATGCACATTGTTAGAAGTCTTCTACAGAATCCTCACATAAACATAGAACCTTATGTAAGTTTTCTCTGGATTATCCTTTTGCCACTATCTAAGAACATTGTAGAATCATGTAGCTACATTTTCTTAAGGCTCCTGATTTGGGTTTCTTCAAGTTCTATTTAGACATATTCCATATTATGGATATAAAATGGTTAGTGGTAGTGTTTGTCCGAGTTATGCAAGCTCGAGTGCTTAAGTACTCTCTTTTGCTTCAAATGACAATAAATTATGTCTTTTCTGAGTTTGAGCGTTGTTTCATAACCATGAAGCTGAGTGAACTTTTCCTTTTGGTGCCAGCTGTACCAGTTGATGCCATCTGTTGTAACATGCCTTGTATCAAGAAAGCTTGGAAATAGATTTGCTGACAACCATTGGGAACTCAGAGATTTTGCGTCAAATCTGGTTGCACTGATATGTAAAAGGTTCATTCTTTCCCTTTCATGTCATGAACTCTGTGTTTGTTTTTGGTTGATTGTGGGGACCTGAACATGAATTCTTACTGGAACTACTACTGAAATTTATACGGAAATTGTATGCAGTATCATGAGATGATTATCCATAGATGGTCTGCTAAGTTTATCTTGGCTGATCTGTTTGCTATTGATATCTTCTTCTTTTTTTTGCTCGAGCTGAAAAAAAAATGGGTACATCTGAATTATGGGTACATCTGAATTAACAACAATTAGTAATAACTTGCTCTATTCTTCTTCATTATTTAGAAGGGTTTAGTCATTGTCTCCCACTTTTATATTACATATCTCACCTTAATATTCTTTTAACATCTGAATACCTGTGGTTTGAATAAAATCTTGCAGGTACGGACCCGTTTATATTACTCTTCAGTCTCGTCTTACAAGAACTTTAGTCAATGCACTGTTGGACCCAAAGAAAGCTTTGACTCAGCACTATGGTGCAATTAGAGGATTAGCAGCTTTGGGGCACAATGTTGTAAGTCATTCCCTGAACTTTCAGAAAGTTTGTGCATGCTATTTCCGATATCAACGAGAAATAATATTACCCAGCATATCCTTCTATCTAGGGCCTTTTCAGGAATCTGATATACAATTTGATTTTCCCCTCACCATTTTTCCGGCTTTGCATAATCATTTTATTGGGAAATTAGGACTATTATAGTCTTAAACAGCTTTTCCAATGAATCAGATACCCCTGCTACCAAAAACTTTAGCACAGCTATCCTGCATTATTAGCTGTTGTCATCTGAATGTCATATATTGTGTAGGTACGCCTTCTAATTCTATCAAATCTCGAACCGTATCTAAGTCTTCTCGAACCTGAATTGGATGCTGAGAAGCAAAAAAATCAGATGAAGAACTACGAAGCTTGGTGTGTATATGGAGCCTTGCTGGTTAGTCAACACATCCTTGTAAAAGTTCATCTTTGTAGAATTCTTCTCAGTGGACAATCCTTAGATTGACTTGCGCCCTTTTGCTTTTCAGCGAGCTGCAGGCTTGTGTATACATGACCGGCTTAAAATCTTCCCACCTTTACCATCTCCATCACCAAGTTTCCTCCGTAAGGGAAAGGGAAAGATAATCAATACTGATCCCCACAAGCGGAAGCTGAGCATAGATTCTTCAGAAAACCAATCGCCGCAGAAAAGATTGATAACCATGGATGGGCCAGATGGTGTGCAATCACAAGATCAATCCGGCTCAGCTCCAATGCAAGTAGATAATCCAGTGGAAAATGACAATCCGCCACAAAACTCTATTCAACCATCCTCATCAGAACAAGCTTCTGATGCTAACGAATCTGAAAGCAGAAATGGAAAGGTGAAAGAAAGCGGTAGGAGTAGGGCTATTACCATGAAAGCAATCCTTGATCAGATATGGAAAGATGATCTTGATTCCGGACGGCTATTGGTGAAACTGCACGAACTCTATGGTGATAGGGTTCTTCCCTTTATCCCTTCTACAGAGATGTCAGTATTCCTCTAACCAATAAGAGGTGAGCTTTCTATTCCTATACTTTCTGATGTTTGCCTCATCGATATAAAACTCATGGTTCCAGTTGTGAATGCATTTAGAATATGTGAAATCAAATGAATAATGATACTCAATACATTAATGCTAATGAATAATTATAGATATGTTTGATGATTTTCAAGCAGAGAAGGAGGCTTGGAGAGATTAAAGCGCCATCTGATTGGCATACATAAACTCATTCAGATCCGTGCCAAACTCCTCAGGTCAACTCGTTAGTTCGTCTTTATAACCTTGAGGGATTTCAAAGTCCTTGGAACCTGCAGACTGGGTTGAGTTGAATTGAACCTGTGGCAATGTATATATTAAGAGAATTTTAATGATTACGCAGTGGATTTATTTGTTTACTCTCAAATGTAATCCATGAAATGAAATATCTTCAAATCTGTATGATCTAGATTGCAATTTTTTGATATTTTTGTTTTCATGTCTCTCTTGCTTATTTTACTCGTTACATATAATATCCGTTCATAGATTATCTCTTGTTGATCCTTCTGGTCCGTAGAATGGGTATACTACAAAGTTTGGTCTGTTATTACATTGACTATGAAAAAGGTCTGACACACAACAAGATTAATTTATGAGGATCTGTAGGAGGATAAGTCTGAACAAAAGTTTCGGAGACATTCTCTTAAGTTTAACTAATCTTGTATGTAAACAATCAAGTTTGCTACACACTACAGAACAGCCTAGTAATCTGGTTTACAACAAAAAATACATGTTGATCAAAGCCCAAACCGAAAACTTAATGATCATCAGTGCTGCAACGAACGTATTGGCTATTGCATTCCAGTAAAAGCTTTGGCTGGTGCCAAGAATAGCTAATGTGCTTGAACAAGAGAGCTTCAGGCCTGAACATAATCCTCTGGCGACCAAAAATGTTTCACAGATAGTAATTCCTTGTGTTATTTCTTTTTGCCGGAACAAGACTATGACCATCATTCGACGATTTCCCCTTCTTCTAAATCTAGTCCATCAGCGATGAAATCAGTATCTAAATTTTGGAGATTGCAATTATCATCCGAATCCAATCCCTTTGCAAATTCACATTCAAAGTTGAAATAGTCACCTGGGCTCATCTCCGCGAAAAGATCCGAGTATGTGTCTATTAACCCTTCCTCAAACTCAAGCTCCATGTTACCAGCATCTTCTTGTTCTCTGGGATCAACCAGAGGATTTGACTTGTTGGTACCAACGCCCTCTGCCTTGCTTTCCTCTGAGACTCGCAGACACGGGTTATAGTTCATTTGTTTCACAAGCTCAAGAACCTTTGGCTCAAAGGAGTTGATGTCGTCTTCTTCTATTTCTTCTTCTCGGAAGGTTGTACCATTAGTGCATCCATAACCATCAAATAAGGAATCATTAGGATTAGGTGTCGTGTTTACATGGTTGATAACTTCAAAGTCATAGCTCTGTGAAGGTAGATATACATGGATCACCGGGTACTCTAAGATAGCTACTTTGGCAAGCTGTTGCCTCAAAGGAGCTTTGATGTCCAGCTCCTTGAAAGGAGCCTTTGCACCCTGTGAGCAAGGAAAAAAGGCTTAATATTTTGTTAGACATGGCATAATATTTTATACAACGAATAAACAAAGATGGGAATAAAACAAAACCTTTGGGTATTGGCGTATAAAAAGTTTAAGAGAATCAAGATCCACATCACAGAAAGGCTTGAGCTTGTGAATCCAGGGGCCAGGCTTGAGATGATTCCTTATCACTGAGCATAGATTTGTATCTTCACCAACTCTGTGATGGATTTTTTAAGTATCAATAGAGGCAGACCAATGACAAACCATGTGTCTCAATAAACAAATATGATTTTCAGTCTTAGCGAATACTAACCCATGATCAACAAGAATCACATCTGTAGAATGAAACCGCCACTCAATTGTCCACGAGATGCACTTGCTCCTAAAGCAAAAAATTCCATCAACAGCAAAAGAAGATTGGTCAGAAAGTAAGGCAATAGAAGCACTTCAGTTAAAACATCTTTTTCTACAGAGAAGATCAACATCAATTACAATGACTAATGTAAAGCTGAATCTTTGACCATAAATCAAGAAATTCGTAGAGCATAAAAAAACCTCAGACTCCAAAAAAACTTCCAACCATTTTATGCTAGAAATTGTATGCAATCATCAAGCTCAGACTTGGAATAAAATGAGAATACCTATTATCGTATCTGGACTGATTATTTCCCCTCTTAAACATTCCACTAGGGAGATACAATAGCTTGGTTCTGCGGCTATAAGCAGCATTTTGAAGGCTCCGAAGAAGATAGGGTAACTTATAAGAATAATGATTTTTGCATAATTGATTCCTCGTTCTCAGAGCAGACTCCGCCACTCTTTTTGTTTCCTCAAGCATAATGTAGTCTAACATGTAAACAAAAGAGAAAATTCCATCAATCAAACAACAATTAGACAACAAAGCATCATCCATAGAAGAATCAAATACAAACACTTTAAAGGTGAAAACTTTTGAAAGTCACGAAACGAAAAACAAATTCACATAATACCAGAAAGGAGGAGATTATCGTCGAACTTGGAGAGGGGAACGACGTTGATGAGATTCTTTTTTCCGGTACAACCTGTTCGCTGCTTGTGGGCTTTCACACAAGGAAGACCACACGATCGAATCGAACATCCAGGACATTTGTACTTCCATGGATTTAGCTTGCACTCTTCGCAGACCGAATTTTTCATCTTTATCCGGAATCAACAACACAGTTTCTCCTCGTTAAGGTCTTGTGGAGGTGGGCAAGCTCAGGGTTTATGTTACTAACTAGGGGTATCAAAATTAGGGTTTAATAAAAAAAATATCTGAGAGAGGACATGTATTTTTTTAATTTACATTTTACCCCACCTAATTAAATTTTTCTTTCAAAATACACCCCATATCTTAACACTTCGGATTTTTTGGTTTCATAGCCAATCCATCCATGTTCAAAAGTTTGAAACTTTGACGACTGAGTTCATGAAACGATGAAATACTACAAACATAATTGTCATTCAAGAATAGACATTGTAACAACACAAGGCCCTATCAAACACATTAACAAAAGAAAAGAGTTATAACGATCTAATGTTGTTTCTTCTTAGTCGTACGGAATCTGGATATAGGCAGCATCACAGACAAATGGGATGTCTGCGTACATACCCGCAAGTGCACACCGTATGCTTTCAAGGACGGTAAACAGATAAGCAAATGCAACAGCGGTCCAGAAATGCATCCCAAACTTACCCCAATAGACTCCAAGAGGCATCCACTTGCTAACGGTTCCTATAACCTGGAGTGCGATTTCAAGCAGCATACCCATCACTACATGGAACCTGAAGAAGTGAGGCCATTCTTTTCTTCGCACTATCCCTAGGTAAGCTACAAAGAAGTAAGCCATGAGGAACCAGCTTGGTAATCTTCCGATGGCCCCCAGAAATGGGTAGGTTAGGAATTCAAAATCTTCTAGGAATGGGTGGAGATGGTAAGCGGTTTCTGCATACATCCAAGTTTCATGCAGTGGCATTAGGTAAGGCAGGCATGCCAAAGTTCTCCACCACCATTGTGGCTTCTTGGTCATTGGGGGAAATCGGAAGCTAGAAGGAACATCTTTTGATGCTCGTGGAGTCAAAAGAGTTTTTCTGCGGATGGGTAACACAGGTAATGTACCAGACAGACTACCTTGTTCTCCATTCAGAAGTAGAGAAGACGAGGCTGAGAGATATGACAAAGGTACACCTGAAACAATCAGAGTATTCAAGATTGAGTCAAAAAAACAAAAGCAGGAACTTTGAAATACCAAAGTCACTTGTCCTAGTTTCAGCCTATGGAAAAGTCTTTTAACATTCACATCATAAGAAACTCATTAGAGCAATTCACAGATATAAGCAGGGATATATGATAATAAACCATATGAGAAGAAGAAATCCACATGCCTCTTGACACTCTCGGAAGCTCATTGAATGGTGAAGGTGATCCCCAAGAGTTCTTTATGACAGACAATGAGCTTCGAGCAAGATAATGTTGAGTCCGTCCTGATGCAGCTCTGTATGATGATGACTTGAATGCCCGAGAACTCGTAAGAACATGTGCACTTGGCGTGCTGCACCCAATTATCATCCTTACCAACTAAAATGCCTATACATAAACAGATGAAAATTTGTTTTATCAAACGAAAACTGGGAAATCGAATTTGATTCTCTTGAGCAGACGACTGTAGAAAAAAAATCTTATTAAATGAACAAAAAACTGCTGAGAGATTCCAATTATTTCGATTCCCACAAAGAGATTTTCGGCACCCTACCCCAGAGATTGCTCAAGACGAATTAGAACCCAGAAAGCAAACAAAATCGATTCTTTTCATAAACCCATGAGATAATTTAGAGGGGAGAAAATTTTACGAACCTTCACAAACTAGGGCTGATGAAATCGAAGCTGGAGGTAGAAGAAGAAGAAGAGTAGGGTTTATCGAGCATTCATCAGTACTTCATCCTCTGAATCCTATCCTTCTTCACTCTCCCAACAAAAAAAAAATGGCGATTCCTCTCTCTTTTTTCTCCCGTGTTTAAATTTACACTAGTAACCTCAGGCCCAGATCGGCCCAAAACCTGAAAACCTCCCAATGAACAAGAGGGTTCGCGCATTATTAAACCGTGACCAAATTTGAAACTTTTTTTTTTTTTTTTTTTTTACTGTTTCCCCAAAAATTCTTTTGAAAATCGAATCGACAAATTCCTTCCGCCGTCGGAATGTCTATTCCCGATCCCAACTCCTCCGCATCTGTAACGGTGTCTCCGTCTCTCTCCACCGCATCGGAAACTCCGGCGATACCAGCAAACACTGTCAGACCACCGCCGTCTCAGCCACCTCCTGCTCCGCCGCCACCACCGCCTCCGACTTACAGACCCATAGCTCCGCTTCGCCATCCTAATCCGTTACAACAATCTGCTCATAATAATAACCTCTACGCACAGTCAATTCCAGTCAGACGCCAAATTCAAGATCCGTCAGCAGTTCTTTACCCGGGTCGAGGGTTTTCAGCCCGACCCGTTCGAGGGTTCGTCGCTGATCCTTCCTTGACGGCCGGTTATCAGAGTGGGTACCCTCCTCGCCCGAGTTTTGCTTACAATCCTCGACAATTTGGGCCGAGTCAAATGGAATCCTTGTTGCAGCAGTACTTAAGGGGGAGACTTCCTCAGATTAATCCGTTACCACGCCTTGGATCGGGTTCTCCTGTTGGGTCGGGTCTCATGAGAGGAAGTCCTCAGTTTCTGCAACCGCGGGTGAGGTTTCTTTCAATTTGGTTTCTTGCAGCTCTTCGATTATTCAAATTTAGTTTCTTTGTAATTCTGCTTGGTATGTTTCATATGTTAATGCTTAGATTCTAGCTAATTAGTGGAAAGATTATTGGGGAAAATGCTCGAGATGATCCTAGGTTTCTTGATTCAAGATATATGCTTTATTTACCTGATTCTCTTGGATCTAGTTATCTTTCTATTTAGGTTCTTTGTCCTGGTATATGATCAAATTATTGCTTTACTTTTGTTTCTTTACTCTGGTCTAGTAATTTCTCTTTCGTGGAATGAGGAAGACTTGAAAATGCTTTTATATTCTAGCAAATGTTAAGTGTTTGCACATAATCACTTTTGATTATTGCCCTTGTTCTAGTCATATTTTCTCATTTTCGTCAATTTTGGTACTTAGGTTGCCCCGCCCCCAACTTCAATTCTAGACACTGGCAGGAATAGAAAGGCCAGGTGAACATAAAATTTCTCTACTTTGATATTATCTTTCTTTTGGTTTCACTGAGAATATATTTGAAAAAAACTTGTTCTGGAAACTTAGTTGCCTTGCTGTTTCTTCTTCCTTGTTATTAGAAGCAAGGATGGGGCTCTTGTTGTTGTTAGAGGGAGAAAGGTAAGCCTACTATGTATCTCTGTTTTGCATTATCATATGTACTGCTTGTTTGAGACTTTGGAAAAGACTTTTGTTAAGTTTAGATTGTAATACTTAGTATTCAACTGTTTACAGGTCAGAATCACTGAGGGAGCTTCTCTTTATTCACTTGGTCGATCATGGTTAAAAAATGGTGCTCACGTAGGAATTCAGGTTTGCATCATTATATTTCTGTATGATGTAAAAAGCTTAGTGTTGTGATGATTCCGCTTGATATAATTATTCATCGGTTGTACTTTCAAGATATTGGTTTGTGGGGTTTTGATTTAGAAAACCTCCTGAAAATGCCAAATTCACTTGAATTTGGAAACCAAATTACTTTTGACTACTCACCTATTTGTATCCGTGCTAGTAAACTAGATAGAAGATTCTTTCTTGATATAGTTATTTTTTTAGAAGCCAAACTTAGTTAAATGATCCTCAATTGCATACTCAAAGCTTGTTTCCTGCTTTTACAATTGAATTCTGCATCTGCAATCTCTCCAGCGTAACCATATATCTGGGACTAATCTAACTTTCAGTTTATCTGTTGACAGCCGCAAAGGAGTGGTATAATGAAACCTTTGCCAAAGCCGGTACCTGTGGATATAACAACAGAGACAAGTGTGCCAGATGATCCAGATGAAGAATCAGCTGATGAAGAAAAAGAGGTTTGTGTTTAATCTTCAAGAACTATAGATTTTATCTGAGCAGAACATAAGACATTAGTCTGATTCATTCCTGATGTTGCTAATTTCAGCTCTTGATATCTTACTACATGATGTTTGATTCAACTCTTTTCTTTGATGATATCAGGACGAGGAAGCTGTAAAGCAATTATCAGAGAAGGATCTTTTGAAAAGACACATCGAGCGAGCTAAGAAAGTCCGAGCACGGTAAGCTCCACAGTATTCTCTCTTTTTGCTCCTTAGGTCCTGTAGTATTTGAAAGATAAACCTCCCCACAAGATTCATGGATGAGTTTTCTTAATCATCAAAGCAATCTAGTAGAACATTCTGGTAATTGAAAAAGCGGACTTCTTTTTATTTCAGATTAAGAGAAGAACGGTTGAGGAAGATAAAGAGGTACAAAGAAAGAATAACTCTTCTTCTGCAACATTCCAAAGACCGATAATGCATGAAGAACTATTGAAAAAGGGGTAAAGTTTTGTTAGGACTTAGGTTTTTATATGACTGTTGTTGATTTAGCATACTAGTACCACGTAACAACATACGTGTAGTAATAGTATAGGTGTGTTCTTCTTCCTCTTCTATAGATTAGTAGGACTAAATGAATAGTGTGTCATTCTTCCTAAGACTAAGGAAGGAGGAAGATAAAAGTTGTTTCCTTAATATTAGCCAGCTTTTAACTAATAGTATGACAATAAAATTTTCTTCTCTTACACATGCCAATCAGTAAATCGTGAAACACGCCAATAATAAATAAACTTTACTGTCATTAGTGAGCTTTTAAGTTTTAACTAAATTTGAGAATAAAATTTTCTTCTCCTACACATGCCAATCAGTAAATCGTAAAACACGCCAATAATAAATTTTATAAATAAACTTTACTGTAATTTGACGAATATTTAACTTATAAAATTTGTTTTTGTAGTAAAGAAAAATTGAGATTTTGTAGAACGTAGGTGGAAGTCTCTGAGTGGCTTGTGAGAGAGAATCGCATAGGGAAGCGGACAGAGAAGATAAACAAACGCTCCTATTTTGACTCTCTTTCAGTTACATTTGCCACGTAATTACAAACACGTGTCATCGCCGCTAAGTTCTTGTCTTTCTGATTGCTCCACATGCTACTACTACTTACCGATGATCTCTCTCTCGCTCACGTTTAATCCGCCATTTCTGTAAAAACCTCTTACCTTTTCTTCACAACTCTCTGAAGTAAACTTTTTCCCGCAATCACCTCTTGCTTTCTATTTTTTCTCGATTGTTTACACTTTTCATTTTCAGCTCTCTGTTTCTTTCTTTCACACTAACCCCAAATTTAGTTTCTTACTCTCCAAGAAAGAAAGAAAGAGCACCGATCTCTATTTTCTCGAGAAACAGAAGGAAAAACTCAGGATGGCGGGGAACGAGTGGATAAATGGATATCTGGAGGCTATTCTTGATAGCCAAGCTCAGGGGATTGAAGAAACACAGCAGAAACCACAAGCTGCTGTGAATCTGAGAGAAGGAGATGGACAATATTTCAATCCGACTAAATACTTCGTGGAGGAAGTTGTAACTGGTGTCGATGAAACCGATCTTCACCGGACTTGGCTCAAAGTCGTAGCCACTCGCAATTCTCGTGAACGTAACTCTCGATTGGAGAATATGTGTTGGAGAATCTGGCATCTCACTCGCAAGAAGAAGCAGGTCCTTCATAGTTACTAATTTTGGTCGATCAATAACTTGTTTCATTGAAATGTATCGAATTTGATTTTTTATGGAATCTCTGTGATTACAGTTGGAATGGGAGGATTCTCAGCGAATAGCGAATAGGAGATTGGAAAGAGAACAGGGAAGAAGAGATGCGACAGAGGATTTGTCTGAGGATTTATCAGAAGGAGAGAAAGGTGATGGTCTTGGAGAAATTGTGCCACCGGAGACACCTCGAAAACAACTGCAACGCAATTTATCCAATCTTGAAATCTGGTCTGATGATAAGAAGGAGAATCGTCTTTACGTTGTCCTCATCAGGTATGTTCTCTTGCTTCCATTGATTCTTCTTTGTGTTAGATCTACATAAAGAGCGTGTTGATTTTTTCAGTTTGCATGGGTTGGTTCGTGGGGAAAACATGGAGCTTGGTAGCGATTCGGATACTGGTGGACAGGTACATTGAGTTCCAAGTTTTCAAAAAGCTTGAATCCGGTATCTCGCGTTGTTTAACTTGTTTTCTTTGTGAATTTTCAGGTGAAATATGTTGTGGAGCTAGCTCGAGCTTTAGCGAGAATGCCTGGTGTGTACCGAGTTGATCTGTTTACTCGCCAAATATGCTCGTCAGAAGTTGATTGGAGCTATGCAGAGCCAACGGAGATGCTAACCACTGCTGAGGATTGTGATGGCGATGAAACCGGGGAAAGCAGCGGAGCTTATATCATTAGGATACCATTTGGTCCACGGGATAAGTACTTAAGAAAAGAGATTCTCTGGCCGTATGTCCAAGAGTTTGTTGATGGAGCTTTAGCTCACATTCTAAACATGTCAAAAGTTTTGGGAGAACAGATTGGGAAGGGGAAACCTGTGTGGCCGTATGTGATTCATGGGCATTACGCGGATGCAGGGGATAGTGCTGCTCTGCTTTCTGGTGCGTTGAACGTTCCTATGGTCCTGACGGGTCATTCTCTAGGAAGAAACAAGCTTGAGCAGCTTTTGAAACAAGGGAGGCAATCAAAGGAGGATATAAATTCCACATATAAGATCAAGAGGAGGATCGAGGCCGAGGAGCTATCTCTGGATGCTGCAGAGCTTGTTATAACAAGCACGAGGCAGGAGATTGATGAACAATGGGGACTTTATGATGGGTTCGATGTAAAACTTGAGAAAGTCTTGAGAGCTCGTGCTAGACGCGGTGTTAATTGCCACGGAAGGTTCATGCCAAGAATGGCGGTAAGTACACCGAGAACTAGCCAGGTTTGAAAAGTTATGATTATGAAGTAAGATTGAGTGAGCTACTGAGTCTGTTGTAGGTTATTCCTCCGGGGATGGATTTCACAAACGTTGAGGTTCAAGAAGATACACCTGAGGGTGATGGAGATTTAGCTTCCTTAGTAGGAGGAACCGAGGGATCTTCTCCTAAAGCGGTTCCAACTATCTGGTCTGATGTGAGTTTTCCTATGCAGCTTCATTATCTTCTTTCGAGAGTGTTTTTTGCGCATTGTATTTATGTTTAAGTCCGTATATTTGGCAGGTTATGAGGTTTTTTACAAATCCTCACAAACCTATGATCTTGGCATTATCTAGACCAGACCCAAAGAAAAACATAACCACTCTTCTGAAAGCCTTTGGCGAATGTCGGCCTCTACGGGAACTAGCTAATCTCGTAACTGTTACATAGCTTGTTATTCCAGGGAATGAAACCAAGAATTCTCTGTTTCTGAAGTTCTTTTTTCTGTGTGTTTGCAGACTTTGATTATGGGAAATCGAGATGATATAGATGAGTTGTCATCTGGAAACGCTAGCGTTCTTACAACCGTCTTGAAACTCATTGACAAATATGATCTTTACGGGTCTGTCGCTTATCCAAAGCATCATAAACAGTCTGATGTTCCTGATATATACCGACTTGCTGCAAATACAAAGGGTGTTTTCATAAATCCAGCTTTGGTTGAGCCTTTTGGCCTTACACTCATTGAGGTAAAGTATTCATATATATATAGTCGTTCTTACTCTGTGTCCAATCCGGTTTAACCAAAATTGAAAAATGCAGGCTGCAGCTCACGGACTTCCGATGGTGGCAACAAAGAATGGAGGACCAGTTGATATACATCGGGTAAGCAAGCTGACCTGAAACTGAAAATCATTTAAATTGGTAATACTTCTTTCTTTCTCATGGTATTTAACTTCAGGCATTGCACAACGGGTTGCTTGTGGATCCACACGATCAAGACGCGATAGCGAATGCGTTGCTGAAGCTGGTATCTGAGAAGAATTTATGGCATGAGTGCAGGATTAACGGTTGGAAGAACATTCACCTCTTCTCATGGCCTGAGCATTGCCGTACTTACCTGACACGTATAGCTGCGTGCCGTATGAGACATCCGCAGTGGCAGACAGATGCGGACGAAGTGGCTGCTCAAGACGATGAATTTTCACTCAACGACTCTCTTAAAGACGTTCAAGACATGTCTCTGAGACTCTCTATGGATGGAGATAAACCATCGTTGAACGGATCTCTTGAACCAAATTCTGCTGATCCGGTTAAACAAATCATGAGCCGGATGAGGACACCCGAAATCAAGAGTAAACCAGAATTACAGGGGAAGAAACAAACTGATAACTTGGGGAGCAAGTATCCGGTTTTGAGGCGACGAGAACGGTTGGTGGTTTTAGCGGTTGATTGCTATAACAATGAGGGAGCGCCCGATGAGAAAGCTATGGTTCCGATGATTCAGAATATCATCAAAGCCGTGCGATCGGATCCTCAGATGGCTAAAAACTCTGGTTTTGCGATTTCCACTTCTATGCCGCTTGATGAATTAACTCGCTTTTTGAAGTCTGCCAAGATTCAGGTGAGTGAGTTCGACACACTAATATGCAGCAGCGGGAGCGAAGTGTATTACCCAGGAGGGGAAGACGGAAAGCTTCTTCCAGATCCTGACTACTCCTCGCATATCGATTACCGATGGGGCATGGAAGGGCTTAAGAACACGGTGTGGAAACTGATGAACACAACCGCTGTTGGTGGTGAGGCAAGAAACAAGGGCTCTCCAAGTCTTATTCAAGAAGATCAGGCATCGAACAATTCACATTGCGTCGCGTATTTGATCAAAGATCGTTCCAAGGTAAAGTTGTTTCCCGTTGTTGTGGCTGTACTGAGGGTAAATGCAGTATCTAATCAGGGTTTCTGCAGGTGATGAGAGTGGATGACTTGCGTCAGAAGTTACGATTAAGAGGCCTTCGTTGCCATCCTATGTATTGTCGAAATTCAACGAGAATGCAGATTGTTCCTCTTCTTGCTTCTCGATCTCAAGCTCTCAGGTACGTTAACTAAACCAAATTGATCATCTCTAACCTGATTCTGTTTGCTGGAAACGCACATTTTGCTACGGGAACGCTACAAAACAACGTTATCTTTGTAGAACATGTCTGTTTCCTTATATAATTGCGATTTAAATTTTGCGGTGAAAGGTACTTGTTCGTGCGGTGGAGGCTAAACGTGGCTAACATGTACGTGGTGGTTGGGGACCGCGGCGATACAGACTATGAAGAATTGATCTCCGGAACACACAAGACTGTGATCGTCAAGGGGCTCGTCACATTGGGTTCTGATGCTCTTCTCCGGTCAACAGACCTTCGAGACGACATCGTTCCAGCAGAGAGTCCTTTTATCGGTTTTCTCAAGGCTGATTCACCGGTTCAGGAAATAACCGACATTTTTAAGCAGCTCTCCAAAGCCACCGCTTGATTCAACTAATATTCAATTCGCCGGTTCGACCATGTAGATTGATTTGTTATTTATTTTCTTTTTTAATTCTAAAGATACATTTGGTTAAATTTTTGGTATCTTGGTCGATCAAATTTTAGGATTTAACAAGTTTTCTATAAAATAAAAGTTACAAACAGTGAAGTCGAGAGTACTATTGGTTCTTTTTGTAGGGAATTATGCAAAAAATTTAATCCAACAAACAAGAAATAGATTGCAATGGTTGAGGAAAATAATAAATTAGAAGAATAAGAC